TCATCTTCACCGAGGTGGGCAGGGGTGGCCAGTGAAGGGACGATGCCACCCGGCCTCTGCTGCCACCCACTGACCCCAGCATCCCCACAGATGACGGTGGTGGTGAAATACCTTTTCCAGTTTGGCTTCTTTCCCTGGAACGGCTACATCACCCTGCTGCGCAATGAGGGCAAGCCCTTCTTCCCACCACGCATCATTGGCTTGGAGAAGTCCATCCACTACATCAAGTATGACCTCCTGCAGCTCCTGGCCCTCTTCTTCCATCGCTCCCTGCTGCTGGTGAGCCCTGGGCCGTGGGTGGGCATTTGGGGGGAGCTGGAGCTGCTCCTGGGGGCTCCAGGCAGAACCCAGCGGGTGCTGGGTGGCTCTGCCGTGGTTTCCCACCAGTGCTGGTGGGAGTTGATGCTGCAGGATGATCCTGGGAGTGAGGTGTGTGGGGCTGGGGACCAGCAGGACCCCTGACCGTGTCCCTCTGCAGTCCTATGGGCTGTGGGACCAGGAGAAGATGACGGACGAGAAGCAGCAGAGCGAGGAAGGGGAGAAGCCGGAGGAAGCCGTGTCCCCACCATCGGCAGTGGCTGAGGAAGGGCTGGAGAGTCCAGCCCAGCCAGGAGCACTGGGAGCAGCCACGGGGCTGGAGCTGGAGCCAGAGGGCGAATCTGTGGAGCAGGAAGAGGAGAATGAGGCCACGCAGCTCCGCTTCAGGAGGAAGCAGGGGAGGAAGACAATGGAGGTGGTTCAAGTGGAAGGTGAGCACGAGTTCCCAACCCTCATGTCCTGCTGAGGAGCAAAGCTGCCACCCCCAGGGTGCTGGGGTCGGGCAGGATGTGGGCCTGCAGGACCCTGGCTGTCACCCACGCTGTGCCTCACTTCAAGGGGGTGAGGAGGAGGAAGAGGCGGAGGTGTCAGAAGAGAGCCACGCTCAAAGGAAGCTGAAGGCGTTTGGCTTGCGGGTCAAGGGCTTCTTCCTCACCATGTGAGTTGTGGGGGTGCTGGTTGGGGTGGGGGCTGTGGGGTGCAGTCCCTGTCACCTGTCCCCTGTGTCCCCTGTGTCCCGTGTCCCCTGTCCCTGCAGGGCACACGATGTGTACCAGCCAGTGTGCGAGTTCTGCCGGGACATCATGGACACGCAGAGCCGTGCAGCCACCGACGTCTACGCCTACATGTTCCTGGCTGACGTGGTCGGCTTCATCATCATCGTCTTCGGCTTCTGGGCCTTTGGGGTGAGCAGGGAGTCCCACAGGGCCCTGACTGTCCTGCCTCCACCACGGGGTGAGGCTGGGCTGGGTCCTGACCTCTCCTGCCCCCCAGAAATACACGGCGGCCGCCGACATCACCTCCTCGCTGTTGGAAAACCAAGTGCCAGAGGCTTTCCTGTTCATGCTGCTCTTCCAGTTCAGCACCATGGTCATCGACCGCGCGCTCTACCTCCGCAAGAGCGTGCTGGGCAAGCTCGTCTTCCAGGTCATCCTGGTCTTCGGCATCCACATCTGGATGTTCTTCATCCTGCCCTACGTCACCCAAAGGCACGTCCCAAAGGATTCCCTGCCACAGCACGGTGTGGCACCTTGGTGTCCCCCAGCCCACGCGGTGGCCCAGGCTGGTGGCTGAAGGGTGGTGACACGTCCCTCCCGCAGGTTGTTCCGCCACAACACGGTGGCCCAGCTGTGGTACTTTGTGAAGTGCATCTACTTTGGACTGTCGGCCTACCAGATCCGCTGTGGCTACCCCACCCGCATCCTGGGCAACTTCCTCACCAAGAAATACAACCACCTCAACCTCTTCCTCTTCCAGGGGTAGGGCACGGGGCCACAGGGAGCGCCGGGCACGCCGAGGGTGCCGTACCACTGCCCTGTCCCCGTGTACCCCCCAGGTTCCGCCTCGTGCCCTTCCTGGTGGAGCTGCGGGCCGTCATGGACTGGGTGTGGACGGACACCACGCTGTCCCTCTCTGACTGGATGTGTGTGGAGGACATCTACGCCAACATCTTCATCATCAAGTGCAGCCGGGAGACTGAGAAGGTACAGCCCCTATGCCAGGAAGGGTCCTTCACTAAACCCCTCTTGGGCGTTTGTTGGGGTCCCCCTGAGCCCACCCTACACTGTGCACTGTCTCCCCCCACCCCAGAAATACCCCCAGCCCAAGGGGCAGAAGAAGAAGAAGGTGGTGAAGTACGGCATGGGCGGCCTCATCATCCTCTTCCTCGTGGGCATCATCTGGTTCCCTCTGCTCTTCATGTCCCTGGTGCGCTCTGTGGTGGGCATCATCAACCACCCCATCGATGTCACCGTCACCCTCAAGCTGGGGGGGTACGAGGTGAGGATGTGGGGGTGGCCCTTGGGCTGCCCAGAGGGGACACCAGGGTGCCCTGCCTGGCTGATGTCCCCCTGTCCCCCTCCTCAGCCTCTGTTCAGCACGAGCTCCCAGCAGCAATACATCCAGCCCTTCAGCTACGAGGACTACGAGGAACTCACCAAAGAGTTTGAGAGCGAGCTGGTAAATCCCCACCCCAAAAAATCCCTGCTGGCTGCCCGGGGCAGGGGCTGGCAGAGCCCCCAGGGCAGGGGCTGAGCTGTGTCCCCCTCGGTGGCAGTTGGCCATGCAGTTCATCAGCCTCTACGACGTGGAGGACATCGTGACCGCCCGCATCGAGGGCAGCTCGGGCTCGCTCTGGGGCATCAGCCCCCCCAGCCGCGAGCAGATGCGGCTGGAGCTGCAGAACGGCTCCTCTGACATCACCCTGCACCTCAGCTGGATCTTCCAGAGGTACCTCGGGCACGGCCAGGGAGGAGCCAGCCCTGCCTGCACCCCCCTGCCCACACTGAGCCTCTCGTGCCCGCAGGGACCTGAGCAAGGGGGGCACGGTGGAGAATGCCTACGGCAAACACAGCACAGACCTGGACCCCGGCACGCCCGAGCGCCTGCAGCTGGCCCAGCTGCTGGCTGGCACCAGGACTGAGCCCGTGTGAGTGTCCCCTGAGGGGGTGGCCGGACCCCTGAGCTCAGTGGGATGGTGTAACCCCCCCCATCACTCTGCTTTCTTGCAGGGCATTGCAAAACCTCTTCCCCAAATACATCCGGGCATCCACTGGCCTCGAAGCTGAACCCATCGAGCAGCTGCTGCCAGGTAGGTCCCAACATGTCCCCCACAAGAAAACTAGCACTGGGTGCCACCTCTCTGAAGACAGGGAGGACATGAGTCCCAGTGTGTCCCTCCCTAAAGCATCAGCACTGGGAGCACACCTGATGGTGCCAGCCCCTTGGACAGCGAGGACGCGAGCCCCGCTGTGTCGCTCCCACCCAAAATCTGTCCTCAAGAGCACAGCAGCCACTGTGCCGTGCCCTCACGGTGTCACCCTCTGCAGATGGCGAGGAGAACTACCTGGACGTGGAGTTGCAGCTGAAACAGGAGCGCAGGGGCTCTGGCCCTGGTGAGCACTTTGTGGAGTGGTGGGTGCTGAGGCAGAAGGACGCCCCACCCAAGGCTGGCAACATCCTCCCCATGGTCATCTTCAACGACAAAGTCAGCCCCCCCAGCCTGGGCTTCCTGGCTGGCTACGGGTAGGTGGAGGGTGCCAGGGTGAGGGGGGATCCGGAGGCATTGGAATTAAATACCAGTATAGCCAGATGGGACGTGCCTGGGCTCGTCTGGCCCTTGCTGCTTGACCAAAGGCAGCAGCTGTGGTGGATTCACCCCAGAGACACCTTTGGCTGGCTGGGTGTGTGGTGGATTCACCTCAGAGACACCTTTGGGTGGCTGGATGCTGCACCTGGGTGCCTGGGACAAGCCCAGGCTTGCAGGAGCTCAGGTTTCCCTCTGTGGAGAAGCTTTAAGGTGATGGTGAAGGAAAGGAGTCGGTTCTGATGGAGGGTTTGGATCCAGAGCTTTATTCTGGCCCTCAGGCCTCTGAATGCAGCACCAGCTCCAACAGAACTCCCCGAGCCCGTGGTTGCTGTTCCTTTGAACCCCGGGGAGAGGGGCAGGGAAGGGGTAGGGAGCCACCAACCGGGTACAGGAGGGGAGGGACAAAGGGACAAAGGACAGCTGGATGGCCCAATGCCCCCCAGGGCTGAGAGGCATCTTTTGGACTCTGCCAATCACACGAAGCCCTTTCTGGAATGCCAAGATGGACGGACAGCACTCAGCAGGGGCAAGGGAGGGGAAGGGAGAGGTGATTGGCACACCTGGGGAAAGAACTGGGATACCTGAGCCAGGCTATGACATCACCCCGCAACACGGAGGGAATGGCTGTGGTGGGATTCAGGATGTGCTCCCCTCTTGCAGGATCATGGGGCTCTACGTGTCCGTCGTGCTGGTGATCGGCAAGTTCGTGCGGGGCTTCTTCAGCGAGGTCTCGCACTCCATCATGTTCGAGGAGCTGCCCTACGTGGATCGCATCCTGAAGCTGTGCCAGGACATCTTCCTGGTGCGGGAGACGGGCGAGCTGGAGCTGGAGGAGGAGCTCTACGCCAAGCTCATCTTCCTCTACCGCTCGCCCGAGACCATGATCAAGTGGACGCGGGAGAAGGAATAAGGGGAAGGGGCTGCAGCCCCGCCCCTGGCAGGGACATCACCGCCAATGCCTTAACCAGCCCCCCCGGCTGGGGCTGCGTCCCGGCCCGGGAGGCACTGGGAGCTGGGGTTCTGGGCACTCCCTGGAGGGAGGATTTTTTCTGGATGTTTTTCTTACATTGCTTTGAAGCCGTCCGATGTGCACAGACCACGTTGTGCCTTCCCGGGGAGGGGGGACAGGAGGTGGCCCCCCCACCCCACCCCACCCACTGGGCACCCCTGGCTGCCAGGTGGGGATGGGGGGGTCAAGAGCCAGCCCGTGCCCCCTCCCTGCGGGCCCCAGCCCTGCTCCAGAACCAGGTTGAACTCAAGCAATAGCCCCCCCCACCCCAGCTCCAGGATGGGGGTCCTGGGTTGTGGCCCCCCACGTTTGAGGAGGTCTGGCAGCCCCAGTTGGACTTTAGACACTTGTGACTTTGGGTTTGTTTTTTTTTTTTTTTTTTTTTTAATAATTCAAATGTTTTATTTATACAGATACCGAATAAAACAAACTTGAGGCCTCCCTGGCTCACAGGCAGCTGGGGCAGGGAGGTGGGGGGGACCAGGGACCTGCCCCCCAACCTCCAATAAATGGGGATGAGGGCTCTCCCTGCCCCTGGCTGGCACAGAAATGGGGTATAAAAGCAGCTGCCTGGGTGTCAGGAATGTAGCCCTGAGGAGTGGCAGTGCCCCAGCAGTGGGATGGGGACGTGTCCCCCGCTGTCCACAACCCCTTCAGCTCTCACTGGACTCCTGGGTCTCCTGGTTCTGCTCCATCTCAGCTCTGCAGGGGACAGACACTGGATGGACACGGCCTCGGGGGCTGAGCAGGTAGGGAGGAGCCCCCCAGCCCCAGGGGCCCCCCAGCCCCGGTACCTGCGGATCCTGCGCTGGCCCTCGGCGCGCACGTAGGGTGGCAGCGTGTCAAGGGGACCCTGCAGGAGAGAGGCCGTGAGCCTGGGGACCCCCACCACCCCCAAGACCCACCCTCTGCACCCCAAAACCTCACCAGCTCCTTGAAGGTGAGGCGGCAGCTGTAGCACAGCAGGGGGATGTAGGCAGCTTTGCTTTCAACCCTGTGGGACAGGGGAGGACAGGGACACTCAGCGGTGCCACTGCGGTGGCCTGGGAGTGGCTGTGGAATCCTGGAATGCCCCCAGCCCATGTGCTCACCCTGCTACTGGCTCCTCCCAGATCAGCGTGGGCTCCAGAGCCAGCTCCTCCTCTGTAAGAGCCAGGGGGTCACCGAGGGGTGCACGGCTGCTCCCCAAATCCCCCAGGTCCCCAGTGCTCTCCCCACTCACCCCCAAAGGTGTCCAAGCCACAGAGGCAGAGGAGGCAGCGCTGTGACTCGCTGCTGGCCTTGGCCGGCTCTGGGCTCAGCTTCTCCCCAGTCCTGCAGCCAAAATGGGGGTTGTGAGTGCACCCCAATCCCCCCACGCCCCCAGTACCCCCCCATGAACCCCCCATACCGGTACACAGTGCTGATGGTGGAGGGGAACTCCTCCTGCAGCCCCAGCAGGAAGCGCTCGACCAGCTGGTGGATGCTGAGCTTCTCCCGGCGCTGTGGGAACAACAGGGAGAGCAGGGCAGCACTGGGGCTCCTGTCCCTACCCTGGGGACACACAGTGTGGGCTCCCCACCACGGGACCCCCTACCTTGGTGAAGAGGGGTGGCACAGTGACGGTGGGGACGCTGAAGAAGCGGTTGTAGAAGGCGATCTCCTTGGCCGTGTAGTCCCGCATGGGTCTCACCACCATCACGTCGCCATGCCGCTGGTCTGTGAAGCCCTGTGGGTGTGCAGGGCTGCCAGGGGACTGTGCCACCACCAAACCACGCCCCCATGGCATCGTGTCACCCCTGGGGTGCGGGTGGCTGTCCCCAGCTCACCGTGTCCACGGCGAGGTAGGCACCGCGCCCCAGGGAGAGGTTGGTAAGGAGCTTGATGGCCACGCGTGTGAGGCTCTCGCCCATCATCACCTTGGCATAGCCCTTGTCCCGGGCTGTCTGCACGATCAGGTGGGTCCTGGGCACGAGGGGACAGCAGGTCAGAGCCACCCTGTGCCCAGCTGGCAGCAGTGCCAGGCAGGGTCAGTCCCTCACCGCAGCATCTCCAGCAGCTCCTCCCGCGCCGTCGCTGTCGCCGCGGCCTCGAAGCTGCGGAGCAGCTCCTGGGTTTGGGCAGCGTCCGGCAGGCAGGGGGTGGCTCCTGCTGGCGTGTCCGGGGTGCTGTGACCAGGCAGAGAGGTGCCACTGTCCCCATCCTGCCGCTGCTGCTGGATGAAGCTGTCCACAGCCTCCTTGTAGGAAGGGCCAGATGGGCTGGATGTGCTGGCGCGCTCCGGCCCTGGCTGTAAGATGGATGGGGGCAGCTCCAGCGCCTGTGGGGCAGAGAGGGATACAGGGCAAGTTGTCCAGATGTGTCCCCTCACCTCAGCACGTGTCCCGTGTCACCCCAATACCTCCTCCAGGTGGATCAGGTGGTAGGGGAAGCCAGTGGCCTGCAGCAGGGTCTCCATCTGGGCCAGGGTCTGCTGCCGCTGCTCTGGGCTCTGCCTGCGCACGGCTCCCTCTGCAAGGAGGGGACAGTGCCAGGGCTGCTGCCACATTGCCAGCCCTGTCCCTGGAGCCAGGGTGGCAGCTCCACAGCCCTGGCACAGTGCAGGGGACACTGTGCTGGGAGTCAGTAACAGAGCAAGGAGCAGGGAGTGGGGCTGGGAACGTGCAAGGGATGGGCAGCAGGGCTGGGAATGGGGCAGGAACAGGCAGTGAGCTGGGAACTGGCAGCAGGACAGGGAATGGGCTGGGCATGGGCAGCAGACATGGAGCAGGGATTAGGCAGTTGGACAGGAGTAGGGAATGGGGTTAGAATGGACAGTTGGACATGGAACAGGGATTGGAGAGCTGGACATAGAGCAGGGGATGGGCTGGGAATGGGCAGCTGGACAGAGGCTCCCTCACCCTCAACGTAGACGAGGCCGGGGATGAAGCGGAGCCTCTTGGCCGCCTCCCGGCTGAGTCCCTGCAGAGAGAGGAGTGGGGTGAGCTGTGGGTGAGCTGTGGGGTGAGGGGGGATGATCCGTGTGCCCCCTGAGTCCCCACTCACCTCCTGCACCTGCCTGACCATGGCGCTGGAGGCCGGGCCCCCCGACACTGCCAGCAGCACCTGTGGGGACAGCAGGGATGGTCACGGGCCCTGGGGCCACCCCCGGGTCCCCTGGCGGTCCCCCTGCCCGTCAGTACCTTCTCTCCTGGGAAGATGACGCGGTTCTTGCCCAGCATGGCACGGAACTTGTGCACGAAGTACTCCCGGAAGCAGCCACTGGGGACACAGGGATTCCTGAGCCATGGCCAGGCCCACACCCCCAGACCCTACACCCCAAAGTCCCCTTGATGTCCCCCAGAACAGCATCCTCAGGCCCCAACATCCCAGAGATCCAATGACCCCCATGAGCCACGACCCCAAATGTTCCTGTCCCCCCTCCTCTGTGTCCTCAACACTCAACGTCCCCAAGCCTTGATCTTGTTTGGCCACGATGTCCCAGACACCCAATGTCTCCAAACCCTGATGTCCCAGAGATCCAGTGTCCCCAGCCCCAACATCCCAATGCTCCAGACACAACATCCCTGAGAACAAATACCCCCAATCCCTGATATCCCCAGGAAACAAAGTTCCCAAGCCCCCATCTTCTGGAGACTCAAAGATCCCAATTTCTGATTGTCCCAAATTTCTGAAATCCCCAAACCCTGATGTCCCCCAGCCCCAATGTCCCTAGTTTCTGATGTCCCCAAGCCCCGATGTCTCCAATTTCTGCTGTCCATGGCCCCGCTGTCCCCGGTCCCTCACCGGCAGAACGGGTCCCCGACGCGGATGACGAGCGCGGCCGTGCTCTGCCCGCACTTCATGCACGTTCGGGGCTGGCTGCGGGGACACGGCCGGTCACCGGGGACATCGGGACCGAGCCCCCGGGAGCGCTACCGAGCAGGAAGGGAGGGGGGGTTCCCGGCCCCCGGGCAGCACCAGGGATACCGGGATGTTACCGGGGGTAGAACCGAGAGATATCGGGGGGATTACCGGGAGCGGGGGATCGGGGATGGCACTGGGGAGCACTGCAGGGATACCGGGAGCGGCACCGGGGCGGTACCGGGGGTAACACCAGAGGCAGGCCGGGGGATTCCGGTGAGACACCGGGGACAGGACCGGGGGGGACACCGGGGCGGTACCGGGGGGTGCTGGCGGGCAGGACCCCCGGGGAAATACCGGGGAGTACCGGGAGCGGCCCCGAGGGTCCATTCCGAGGCCGGACCGGACTCACACCTGTCTGCCGGTGCGCGGCGGCGCCGCGGCGGTTCCGCGTCCGCCCCGCAGCCGCCACCGCCACCCTCCACGTCGCACATCGCGGCGCTGCTCGGCCCCGGTGGGTCCAGGTGGGTTCCGGTGAGTCCCCGGGGGTCCTGCTCGGTTCGGGCCCCGCTCGGCCTCGTTCGGCTCTCACTCGGCTCCGCTCGGCCTCGTTCGGCTCTCACTCGGCTCCGCTTGGCCTCGTTCGGCTCCGCTCGGCTCTCACGCGGCTCCGCTTGGCTCCGCTCGGCCTCGTTCGGCCTCGCTCGGCTCGCACTCGGCACCTCTCGGTCCCGCCGTGTCCCGGTGCGCTCCCGTCGCGCGGCGATGACGCGTTGGCGCCGCTCGGTGACGTGGCGCCCGCCCCGCCAGCCGCCGCCGCCGCCATGTTCCGGAGCCTGCTGGTGGCGGCGGCGCAGCGGCCGCAGGGCCCGGCCGGGCCCCCCCGCGCCGCCCCCGGGCCCGGCGCCGCGGCCGAGGCGCTGGAGGCGCAGTTCAGCTGCCCCATCTGCCTCGAGGTTTTCCACCGCGCCGTCGGCATCGCGGGCTGCGGGCACACGTGAGACGGGGCCCGGGCGGGGGCGGCGGGGACCCCCGGGGACCCCCGGGCTGAGGCGGCCCCGGGGACGGGCGGGACGCGGGGCTGGGCGCTGTGCCGGCCGGGGATCCTTGCGGGCGCTCTGCCCGGTGAGCCCAGCCGGCACCGGGACCCCCGGCCCATACCGGGGATGGTTCGGTACCGGGGCCCTCATCCCATCCCACAGCGCGATCCCCATCCCACCCCTTCCCCTCCCTCAGCTCCCAGGCCTGGCTACTGTCCTCAGGACCCCCCGTGTCCCCCCAGCATTTCGGGGACCTCCTGATCCCTTTTCCATCTGATTTTGGGGATGTTTCCGGGTCCTGGGGCTTTGTTGGGGGCCCCAGCACCGCCTCACCCCTGCTTGTTTGGGGCTGGGGGCGATTCCTGACCCCTCCATGATCCCCCCTGCCCATCCCCGCTGCCCTGGCAGCGGCAGAGCCTTTGGGGGGTTCATTCCATGTTCCTGGTGAGCAGGAGGGACCAGCAATGCCGGGATAATCGGATTTTGGGGACGGGATTCCTTTGCTCCTGGGGCTGTAAGGACCTTGGAATGAGCTGATCCAGGCTCCTGCCTGGCCTGGATACCCAGCACGGGCTTGGGCTCCTTTCAGATGCAGCCTTGGAGCAGGGGAATTGTCTGAGCCTGCAGGAGCTCCCTGGGGACTCACCTGCTCCCAGTTCTCCCAGTAGGAATGCTGATCCCTGTGGTGCCCTGAGAGGCTGCCTAGAACAGAAGCTGGACAGAGTTAGAGGAGTCAAATAGGGATTTATTAAGAAGCCTTCAAAGGATGCACCTTGGGCAGTATAAGAGCCCAGGATGGACTCTAAGTCACAGGCTTTCGCACTTTTATAAGATTTGGTCCATTTCCATATTGGGGTTAATTGTCCAGTTCCAGCTGCAGGTTATGCAGTCCCATCCTCCCAGTTTGCTCTCCTCCATTCCCTGTTGTTTGCACTTTTTGGGTCTTTTTGTTGTTTGCACTTTTTGGGCCTGAAGCTGCAGTGATGTCCTTGGTTCTGGGGCTGGAAAAGGATTGTTCTGTGTGCCTGAGGAAAGGAAAAGGATTGTTCTGTGTGCCTGAGCTGTGAGGAGACCTGCTGACACTTTGTATGGAGTTCAGGGTTATTACCAATGCAGTCCAGAATCTGAAAACACAAAACCTAAAACTGCTAAAAAGCTAGAACCCATCAGCTGGCTTTGGGGCATCCTGGGCAGCGGGGGTGCCCTGCGGGGGTGCTGCTGTGCCCGGGGTGCTCAGGGCCCCCCTGTGCCCCCAGGTTTTGTGGGGAATGCCTGCAGCCCTGCCTGCAGGTGCTCAGGGCCCCCCTGTGCCCCCAGGTTTTGTGGGGAATGCCTGCAGCCCTGCCTGCAGGTGCTCAGGGCCCCCCTGTGCCCCCAGGTTTTGTGGGGAATGCCTGCAGCCCTGCCTGCAGGTGCCCTCCCCGCTGTGCCCGCTCTGCCGCGTGCCCTTCGACCCCAAGAAGGTGGAGAAGGCTTCCAGCGTGGAGAAACAGCTCTCGTCCTACAAGGCTCCCTGCAGAGGCTGCAGCAAGAAGGTAAAGCTGTGCAGCTGCTTGTCCTCATGGTCCCTGTTGTCCTCATCCTCCTCTGGAATGTGTACAGAGAAGGAAACAGAGCTGGGGGAGCCTCAGCCTGGAGAAAAGGAGGCTCGGGGGGCACCCTGTGGCTCTGCACAGAGGGGATAGCCAGGGGGGTCAGGCTCTGCTCCCACGGAATGGGGACAGAACCTCTGGGGGTCCCTGCAGCCCCAAATCTCTGTCCTGTGAGGAAGGATGGATGGGTGCATGTCACAGTTAGGCTGGACGTGACATACACACGCGATCAGGGTCCAAGAAGAAAAAAGTTTTCTATTCTGTGTGTTCTCCAGCTTATATACTCTTAAAAAAGTGTGATCTTAAGTCAATAACTACATCACAATAACTCACTATATTCGTTGGTGCAAAGCAATTAACGCCAGTATAATTGGTAAAAGTTTTACAGAAATTTAATAAGGCACATATACACATCTACTTATACTTACAAAAATTTTCATGTATCTTTTCTAATCTGTTTCCATGCTGATGGCCTTGTCTTCTTCCTTGCTATGGAAACACTGGAAAATCATCAATTGTTATTTCTTCTATTACCTCAGCTTGGCTTGCATGCCAGCTGTCCACCCCTCCATGGGTGCAGCATTCCCACTGCTGTGGGTCGTGGAGCAGAGCTCACTCCCAGCCCAGCTGCTGTCCTGGCTCCTGGCAGGTGTTTCTGCAGCTCCACGAGTGTTTCTTGTCCCCCTCCTGCAGGTGACCCTGGCCAAAATGCGCTCTCACGTCTCGTCCTGCGCCAAGGTGCAGGAGCAGATGGCCAACTGCCCCAAGTTTGTTCCAGTGGTCCCCACATCCCAGCCTATTCCCAGGTATGGCTGAAACAGGGCCCTCCCTGCTTGCCCCAAAATCCAGGTGTGTGTTGTGCCTGTCCCTGGGAGGAAGAGCAGCACCTGTTCCCTCCTGGCGCTGCTGCTCCGGGTTTTGGGGTGTGGGGTGGGATGAAGGATCCACCCAGGCTGGGAAGCTGGGAAGGGGCTGGGCTGGCTCCTGCTGTCACAGAGCTGTGTGTGTGTTAGTGTGGAAGGAGGCAGTGCAGCCTCCCCTGGGATCTGAGCTCATCCTTGCTCTCTGCAGCAACATTCCCAACCGCTCCACGTTTGTGTGTCCGTACTGCGGGGCGCGGAACCTGGACCAGCAGGAGCTGGTGAAGCACTGCATGGAGAACCACAGGAATGACCCCAACAAAGTGGTGAGTGCTGCTGGGGAGTGTGGGACAGCTCTGGAAACCAGCCCCACCCTGCAGCATCAGGGTGTTTGTGGAGGCACAGCTGTGTTCCAGCTGGTTTAAATCCCTTTGGGAGATGGGGATTTGTCTCTGCTTTGTTAGAGGCTCCCTGGAATGAGCTGCCTCCATCGCCCTGTTCCTGCAAACCAGGTGGTGCTGGATTTCCTCTCCCTGTTCCCTCTGGGTTGACCAAGGTGGGGAACTTGGGATCTTCAGCACAGGAAGGACCTGGAGCTGATGGAGCAGCTCCAGAGGAGATCACCAAGGTGATCAGAGGGGTGGAGCAGCTCTGCCGTGAGGAAAGGCTGAGAAAATTGGGATTGTTCAGCTTGGGAAAGAGAAGCTTCAGGGAGACCTAATTGTGGCCTTCCAGGACCTTCAGGAAAGGTGGAGAGAGGCTATTGACAAGGGGGAGTGGATCCAAACTGCCAGAGAGTTTGTTTGGGTTGGATATGAGGAAGAAATCCTTCCCTGTGAGGGTGGGGAAGCCCTGGCACAGGTTCCCAGAGCAGCTGTGGCTGCCCCTGGATCCCTGGCAGTGTCCAAGGCCATGTGCAGGTGCCACCATCCCGTGTCCATGTCCCCACAGGTGTGCCCGGTGTGCTCGGCCATGCCCTGGGGGGATCCCAGCTACAAGAGTGCCAACTTCCTGCAGCACCTGCTCCACAGGCACAAGTTCTCCTACGACACCTTCGTGGTGAGTCTGACCCTGAGCCGTGTCCTGTGCCAGGAGGTGAAACCATGTGTCCCACCCATGAGAGCCCCGCAGCCACCAGGGTGTCCTCACACACACCAGGAGGAGAGGGGGTTGTTCCTGCACTCCACAAAATGGGTTTTTCCATGGAACTCTTCCCCTGAGGAGCTGTAACACAAAACTCCTTTTGGGAGCAGGGGGTGGGAGCAGCCCTGCCTCAGGGTTTGGGGGGGTGTGGTTGCTGCACATGGGGGGTCCCTGACCCCTCCTGTGTGGGGGGCAGTGGTGATGGCTCAGCCTTGGCCTCAGGGGAGGCTCTGTTCCCATCCTGCTTTCATTGGAGAGATGTCAGGAAAAAGAACCTCCAGGCATTTTCAGAGGAATATCCCAACCCAGAGCTCTGCAAAAACCCCTGGCCTTTGCTGGAAGGCTTCACCCTTTGGTCTCAGCTTGTGTGGGCAGGTTCCATCCCCCCTGGCAGGTGTGAGAGCCTGGGCAGGAGAGGGGTGTGGGCACAGAGGACACCCTAGAGAGCACGGGTGGCATTCCTGGGTCTGTGTGCCAGGGGAATTCAGGCTCCACGAGGAGCAGGCAGGGCTCGTGGGCACAGTGTGCCCTGGCTGTGCCAGCTCTCCTGAGCTGCCCTGTTTGCTTTTCAGGATTACAACATCGACGAGGAGGCAGCGTTGCAGGCAGCCCTGGCTCTGTCCCTCTCTGAGAACTGAGGCTGATCCCTCTCCCTGCCCTGGCTCCTTCTGGACACTCCAGGAACCCTCTGGAGCCCCTCTGCTGCCTCTGTTCCCACTGCAATTCCCACCTTGTTGAAGAAGGTGGAGCCTCTCCAGTTGTCCCAGCGAGTGAGCAGAGAGCTGTGGAGCAGGGCTGGGATCAATCCTTGGATTGGGGTTTAATATCCGTGTTGGGAGCTTAGCCCTGTGTCCAGATCTATTTATTGCTAGATGCTTTTTGGCACACTCGTCCCTGCTCTCTGGTGCAGCAGAATAGGTACCTGAAACTGATAGATTGGATGCCAAACACTCTCCTTTGGGACTGGAATCAGCCACATCCTTTAAAAAAGGAGGAAGGCAGCGTGGAGCTTCTTTTTTTAAACTCTCCAAGGATTTTTCTAGAGATGTCAGGCTGTCCTGACCCCTGTGCTGGAGGCTGGAGCTGCCTCCTTCACCTGAATCCCAGGATGAGACTGAAGAGTGGCTCAGAGGAGGCCTGGAGGACGGCATCCAGCATCCAGGGAATCCTCCCCTTCCTCGTTTTGTACCGGCTCTTGGGACACCAAATCCTTGCCTTTTTCTACACAAAGCAGTGAAGCCTTTTCCACGTTTTCTAGAGCGGGGTCAGAAGCTGCTCCCCCTTCACTCTGCAATATCTGCCACCCAGGACAAGAGTATTTTTATGGAACATTATCAAGAAAGTTTATTTTTTACACAGATAACCCAAGCAAATGAACACGTGGATTGGGAATGGGGCAGGAGGCAGGAGCTGGATCCCGGAGCGGGTCGGACTCTGAGGTAGGGGGAAGTGCAGGGATCTTTCTGGGAAATCCCTGGATATTTCTGGGCCTTTCCCTTCCCTCAGCAGAATTCCTCTGCCTGTGAGGGAGCAGGAGGATGGTTGGGTTGGATCCAGGTGCTGGTTGCCCATGGAATGGCTGTCCATGCAGGATCCCAGCCCCGAGCTGCTGATCCCCCCCAGAAATCAGGGATTGCATCTCCCTGTGGGAATCCCTCCCTGGGAATGGGGGCACTGTTGATCCAAGGTGCTCCACAGCATCCTGGTGCCCCCTTGCCCCTGCCCCTTCCTCTCAGCCCTGCCTGCTGCTGCTGGGGTTGGCTCTGGAGGGCTGGGAGAGGCTGGCAGGGAGATGGCACCGGCCACGGGGTGATTCCCGAGAGCCTTCCTGCAGGATTTGCAGGGAAAGGCTGGGAGAGGCCCCCTCTGCTCGAGGAATTCCTGAGCTTTATCCAAAACCTGGCTCCAGCTCTGCTCTAGCAATACTGCCTTGGGGTTTGTTTTGGTTTTCATAGTGCTGGATGATTTGGGGAGCTGCAGCCCTGTGAGGAGCGTGCAGGGAGCTCTGAGCTCCCCTGGCAGGGCAGGGAAAGGGATGGGACCTTCTCTGACCTGCCCTGCAGTGCTGGCACCTGGGGGATGTTCCTGTGGGACGGAGAGCACTGGAATCTTCCAGGAGGGACCCAGGAGCATTTCCCTGTCCTGTGCTCAGCTGGGACCCTCAGCAGCTGGAGCAGCCTCCATGAGAGATCCAGCTCTGTTAACCTCGGGCTCCTTCCCTCTCTCCTCCTTTTCCTTCTCCTTTTTGCCCCACAGAGACAGAGCAGGGGCAGCAAGAGCTGCTTTTGTAAAGCACTTTAAGGCCCTGGGTGTGAGGGGCCACACCAGGCCGTGCCAGGGGTCCCCTCTGTGCCAGGGGTCCCCTCTGTGCCAGGGATCCATGGATATCCCACTGGCCGTGCCCACCAGTGCATCACCCACCACTTTTTTGCATAATTAGAACTTTTAACGAGCCGTCCTGTTTTTTGAAGAGGAATTAACTCGATGACGTATTTGTAGCAAACCATTTTTCTCAATAAAGGCAGTTTCATCCACATGTGGCCTCTGCTGGGGGGAAGCACTGGAGGGATACTGGGAGAACTGGGATGCTGGGGCACTGAGATACAGTGGCCCTGAAGGCTGTGGGAGCACTCAAAGAGCACTAGGGACGTTTGGATCCATGGATCCTTGGACACTTCCAGGGATCCAGTGGTTTTATACCGGGGATATTTGGATATTTGGGATGTGAAGGTGACAGGGAGTGCGGGAGCACTGGAGGTGTACTGGGAGCACTGGGGCAGTGCTGGGGACCGAGCGGTGCGGGGAGCACTGGGAGCGGTACCGGGAACAGAACCGAGAGTGGTACCGGGAGCACCGGGAAGGTACCGGGAGCATCTGCGCATGCACAGGTCTTGCCCAATTCAAAAATGGCGCCCCGCAGGCCCCGCCCAGCACGCTCAGGGGGCGTGGCCGCCCGTGGTCCGATCGCTGCCATTGGCTGTTGGGAACCGGGTGCTGCGCTCTCCACCAATGGCGAGGCGGGACCGGCCGCAGGCCACGGTCACGTGCGTGGCGCGGGGGCGGGGCCTGAGCACGGCCGGCAGCGATGGCGGCGGAGCAGGCACTGACCATGGCTACCTGCACGGCCCCGGTGAACATCGCCGTGATCAAGTACTGTGAGTGCCGGGATACGGCCGGGGCGGACACGGGCTCCGGGCTGGGCTGGGTGTGCCGTGTCCCGCCGGGCCGGGCCGGGTCGGGCTGGGCTGGGCTGCACTGTGTCCCTTCTTGCCGTGCTGTTCCGTGCCGTGCCATTCCAAGCCGTGCCATGCCGTGCCAAGCGCTGCTATGCCATGCTTTGCTTTGTGTCCATCGGTGCCATTCTGAACTGTTCCATGCCTCTCCTAGCCATGCCATGCCATTCCCGGCTGTGCCATGCCATTTCTAGCCATGCCATTCCTGGCTATTCCGTGCCATTCCTGGCTGTGCCATGCCATGCTTTGCTGGTCCATCAGTGCCATCGAGCTTTCATGCCATTCCTAGCCATTCCGTGCCATTCCAAGCCGTGCCATGCCGTGCTCTCTTGCAGGGGGCAAGCGAGACACCGACCTCATCCTGCCCATCAACTCCTCCCTGAGCGTGACACTGCACCAGGACCAGGTGGGTCAGCACCAGGGCCAGGGTCGGGTTTAGGATCAGGACCAGGTTTAGGACCAGGACCAGGTTTAGGACCAGCCCCCAGGGTTGCTGAGCCCCGTCCCTCTCTCCCCACAGCTCAAGACCACCACGACGGCGGCCGCCAGCCGGGATTTCACGGAGGACCGGCTGTGGCTCAACGGGAAGGAGGCGGACGTGGGGCACCCGCGGGTCCAGGCCTGTCTGCGCGAGGGTGAGCGTCCCCTGACCGGGGCTGTCCCTGCTGTCCCTGATTCCACTGTCCCTGCTGTCTCTGCTGTCACTGTCCTCACTGTCTCCTGATGTCCTGTCCTGCTGTCTCTGCTGTTCCTGCTGTCCCCACTGTCCCTGTCCCTGCTGTCCCTGATTCCACTGTCCCTGCTGTCCTCGACCCCACTATCCCCTGTCCCCACTCTCCCTGACCCCTCTTTCCCTGCTGTCCCTACTGTCCCTGACCTCACTGACCCCTCTATCCCTGACCCCGCTGTCCCCGCAGTGCGGCGCCTGGCACGGAAGCGCCGCGGGGGCGGTGAGGACGCGGCCGCTCTCAGCCTCTCCTACAAGATCCACATCGCCTCCGAGAACAACTTCCCCACGGCCGCCGGGCTCGCCTCCTCTGCTGCTGGCTACGCCTGCCTGGGTGCGTCTGGGGCCAACCCAACCCTCGGCTGTCCCCTCTGGGCTGGGAGGGGTGACAGGGCTGTCCCCTCTGCCTGTCCTGTCAGTGTTGGTGCTGGCCCAGCTCTGTGGTGGCAGCAGGAGGGGTGACAGGGCTGTCCCCTCTGCCTGTCCCTGCAGTGTCGGCACTGGCCCAGCTCTGTGGTGGCAGCAGGAGGGGTGACAGGGCTGTCCCCTGTGCCTGTCCCCGCAGTGTCGGCGCTGGCCCGGCTCTATGGGCTGGAGGAGGAGCTGTCCGAGGTGGCGCGGCGGGGCTCGGGCAGTGCCTGCCGCAGCATGTTCGGTGGCTTCGTGCAGTGGCAGCGTGGGGAGCGCCCCGATGGCACCGACAGCCTGGCCCTGCAGGTGGCCCCCGAGACGCACTGGCCGGAGCTCCGCGTCCTCGTCCTGGTGGTGAGGGGCTGGCAGGGGATTTGGGTGGGATTTGGGACTCGAGGGGCTCAGGAGGGGCCGTGTCCCAGTGCCTGTGTCACCCCAGGTCAGTGGGGAGAAGAAGCCGGTGGGCAGCACGGCGGGCATGCAGACCAGCGTGGAGACCAGTCCCCTGCTGAAGGTAGGGGGACACGGGACTTGTCCTGCCTGGGCAGGGACAGGGTCCCCTTTCCCTTGGAATGCGGCTGGAGGGTGTGCAGTGCCACACAGAGGGTGGGTGTCACCAAACTGGGGGGACAGTGACCTTCCTCCTGTGGGTATCTCCAAATTCAGGGCGACCACAACCCACCTGTTGTGGTTGTCACCGAATATGGGTAACCGTGACCCTCCTGCCATGGATGTCACTAAACTGGGGTGGCCACAACCTGTGTGCTGTGGTTGTCACTGATTTGGGGTGACCATGACCTGCCTGCCATGGATGTCACTAAACTGGGGTGGGCACAACCTGCCTGTTGTGGTTGTCACTGATTTGGGGTGACCATGACCCTGTCCCTGCTGTGGGTGTCACTGGGCTGATGGTGACCCCCCTGCTGTGGCAGCACCGGGCAGAGGTGGTGGTCCCCGAGCGCCTGGCCCAGATGATGCAGCACATCCGTGACCGTGACTTTGAGGGCTTTGGCCAGCTGGCCATGAGGGACAGCAACCAGTTCCACGCCACCTGCCTGGACACCTTCCCGCCCATCTTCTACCTGACGGACGTGTCGCGCCACATCATCGCGCTGGCACACCGCTACAACGCCCACCACGGCCACACCAAGGTACCCGCGGGGCCCCGGGGCTGCCACGGCACCGTGGCCCTCACCTGGGTCGCCACGTCCGTCCCCATGTCCCCACGATGCCACCACAGGTCGCCTACACCTTCGACGCCGGCCCCAACGCCGTCATCTTCGCGCTGGCCGACACCGTGGCCGAGTTCGTGGAGGTGGTGAGGCGCAGCTTCCCCCCCGCCACCAACGGGGACCAGTAAGGGAACCCCCTGCTTACTGGGGAGGGTGGGGGTGCTGGGGATGCTGGGGACACGGGGACTGAGCGCTCCCTGTGCCACAGGTTTGTCCGGGGGCTGCCCGTGGGCTCGGCTGTGCTGCCGCCGGAGCTGGAGGCTGCCGTGCTCACCGAGCCTGTGCCCGGGGCTGTCCAGTACATCCTGCACACCAAGGTGAGGGTGGGGGGACATGGCCTCAGGGGGGGGCTCTGACCCCATCCCTGCTCCCATCCCTGCCCCTGAGGGGGTGTGGGACCCCACTGCTGTGCCCAGGGGTGTCCAGGACCCCATCCCTGTCCCCATCCCCACTGGAGTGTGTGGGGTCCTGTCCCCATCCCCAGAGGTGTCCAGGACCCCATGCCTGTCCCAGTTCCCAGGGGGGGTGTGTGCAGGACCCCATTTCTGGACACATTCCCACTGGGGTGACCTTTTGGGGTCCGTGGTGCCCAGAGCTGCCCCCCACCCACAGCTGGGGGTGCCCTGCAGGCAGTGGAGTTCCCTGGTGTCCCTGACCCGTGTCCTGTCCCACAGCCTGGCCCTGGTCCCCAGCTCGTGGATGACCCCAGCCAGCACCTCCTGGGCCCGGACGGGCTGCCCCGGACCCGTGCCTGACCCCGGTGACACTGGGACAGCTGGGACACACCGGGGGGACTCTGCCAGTGCCACCAGCGGGCCTCAGGACCCTGAGCCAGGCCTGCTGCAAAGCTGTCCCCAGCCCTGGGGCAGGATGTCACCCCGGGGCTGGTTTTTAATCTTTTGTAAGGAAATACAGGGTTCCTGGTTCCAGTGCTGTTTTGGGGTGTCACATTCTGTGTGTTGGGGCGGGAGGGGAGCAGGAGATGGGGACAGTCCCTGGGGCTGGTCCTGTTACTCTGCACAGCCCTGCCACCCCACATGACCCCATCCCCCTGTGTCCCTTGTGGGGACATCTCCTGTCCCATATGCCCCCAAGTTGTCACTGATCCTATCCTCCCACATGTCCCGGTCCCTTGCACATGCCACATCCCCTGTCCCCTCCCTGTCCCTTGCAGGGCTGATCCTGTCCCCATCCCTCCTCTGTCCCTGCTGCTGGGACGGGTCCTGTCGCCCCGCATGGCTCCTGTTGTCCCCGGGGCTGGCCCTGTCCCTCCGTGCCATTCCTGTCACCGCCGTGGCCCCGGTGTGGCCCCGAGCCGGTGCCGTGTCCCCGCGGGGGCGTGGCCTGTGGAAAATGGGTGTGGTTAATACAAATGGGTGTGGCATATTAAAAGGGTGTGGCCGATACGAATGGGGCGTGGCCTGCGCTGGTAGCGCCGCACCCGCCTTCCGGGTCGGGACCGGCCGAGCGGAGCCGAACCGGGACGGGCCGGGCCCACCGGGAGCAGCCGAGCTCCAGCGGGCAGAGCAAAGCAGAGCGGACCGAACCGGGCCGAGCAGGACCCGACCGGGCTGAGCCGAACCCGACCGGGCTGAGCCGAACCCGACGGGGCCGGGAGTAGCCGAAGGCGCTCGGGAGTAGCCGGGAGCAGCCGAACCCGTTCGGAGCGAGTCGAGCGGAGCAGCCGAACCCAGTCGGACCGAGCCGAGCGGAGCCGGGAGCAGCCGAACCCGTTCGGAGCGAGCCGAGCGGAGCAGCCGAACCCGCTCGGGCCGGTTCCGTCGCGGGCCATGGGGCAGATCGAGTGGGCCATGTGGGCGAACGAGCAGGCGCTGGCCGCCGGGCTCAGTGAGTGTGAGGGGGTTTGGGGGGGTTTGGGGCACTCCGGAAAGTCCCCGGGCTCTGAAGGAGTGAGCGCCCCGCGGGCTGGGGATGCCGAGCCCCGGGGATGGGCTGGGATGAGATGTGGGGTCCCGGTCCCACCGGGCTGCGGGTGCGGGCGGGGGACGGCCGGGAAGTCCCGGCCCGGCCGGGCTGGAGCCTCCGCTTCCTCCTTTTCTCTTCCTCCTCTGCCCTCTCTTCTTCGGTTCCGTTCTCTCCTCCTCCGCTCTCCTCTTGCTCCGGCCGCGAGGCCAAAAACCTCCCCCAAGGCCGTTCCCGAGGCCAAAAACCTCCCCCAAGGCCGTTCCCGAGGCCAAAAACCTCCCCCAAGGCCCCGGAGCTCCCCAGCCCGGGGGTCCCGCACCAGCATCGCCCCCGCATCCGCTTCGGGAGCGCTCGGGGCCGGGGACCCCCAGGGCCCCTTCCCGGATCCGGGGGTCCCGTGTGTCCCCAGGGCCATGACCCCGGGCTGGGTGTCCCGTGTGTCCCCAGGGCCATAACCCCGGGCTGGGGGTCCCGTGTGTCCCCAGGGCCATGATCCCGGGCTGGGGGATTGCGGGGGGCTGGATCCTGAGTTTGGGGGCCATATCCTGAGCTCGGGGCTGTATCCGGGGTTTTGGGAGCTGCATAACAGGTTTGGGAGGTTGTATCCAAGTTCGGGGATTGTATCCCGGTTTAGGGGTTTGTATCCCGGGTTGGGGGGTTTGTATCCCGGTTTAGGGGTTTGTATCCGGGTTTAGGGGGTTGTATCCCGGGTTGGGGTGGGTATATCCCGGTTTGGGGGTTGTATCCCGGTTTAGGGGGTTGTATCCCGGTTTGGGGGGTTTGTATCCTGGTTTAGGGGTTTGTATCCCGGTTTGGGGGTTGTATCCCGGGTTGGGGTGGGTATATCCCGGTTTGGGGGTTGTATCCCGGTTTAGGGGGTTGTATCCCGGTTTGGGGGGTTTGTATCCTGGTTTAGGGGTTTGTATCCCGGGTTGGGGTGTGTATCCCGGTTTGGGGTGGGTATATCCCGGTTTAGGGGTTTGTATCCCGGGTTTGGGGGTTGTATCCCGCTTTAGGGGTTTGTATCCCGGTTTGGGGGTCTGTATCCCGGGTTGGGGTGGGTATATCCCGGTTTAGGGGTTTGTATCCCGGGTTGGGGTGGGTATATCCCGGTTTAGGGGTTTGTATCCCGGGTTTGGGGTTTGTATCCCGGGTTGGGGTGGGTATCCCGGCCCGCTGTGGCCGCTCCATCCCGGCTGTTCCCGCAGTCCTGCTGACGGGCGGCATCGTGGCCGTGGCGGGGCAGTTCAAGGGCTGGTACTTCGCGGCGTATTCCATGTATCCTTCCCGAGAGCATTCCCGGCGCTGGGCTGCGGGAAAACCCCGTCCCGACCGGGGAGGGGTCACATCCTTATCTCCTCCTCACCGTGCTCCCAGCTGGGCGTTCCCTGCCCTTTTTTGGGATGTTCCTTGGGGCCATTCCCGCTCCCATCCCGCCTTTCCTTGACGCCCCGGCAGCGCTGCAGGCGTCCTGGTGTGCCTGCTCGAGTATCCCAGGAGCAAACGGAAAAGGGGCTCCACCATGGAGAGGTGGTGAGTGCTGTGTCCCCCCTGGTGCCCCCCAAACACAGGATCCAGCGGGCGGGTTCCTCGCAGAGATGGGGGTCCCTGGAGGCTGGCTGTCCCCCGAGGGTGGGGACAGCCCCAGTGACCCCCTGCTGTCGCCCTGCAGTGGCCAGAAGTACCTGACAGCCGTGGTGAAGCTCCTGGGGCCCCTCACCAGGAATTATTACATCCGAGCCGTCCTCCACGCTGCGTGAGTGGGGTGCAGGGTCGAGGCTGGGGGATGAGCCCCCCTGGCACCCTCTGAACCCCAAATCTCTGTCACAGCCTGGCTGTCCCTGCTGGATTCCTCCTCTCCACCATCCTGGGCACCGTCTGCCTGGGCATTGCCAGTGGCATCTACCTGCTGGTGAGTGCAGAGGGGCTTTGGGGGCTTTGGGGGGCTGGGAGGGGGAGGCCACCCCTAAAACCAATGCACCAGTGCTTCCATGTGAATTCCAGAAGCATTCCCAGATGGAGCTGCAGGAACAGCCTGTCCCAAACAGGTGGACAGGGGTCATGTCACATCCTCCACTCTGGTCCCTCTGTGCTTTCCCTGCCCCCAGCAGCCCCTTTTTTGGGGTGGGGGTTGATCCTTGGCACTCCTGTGACCCCACAGGCTGCAGTCCGAGGGGAGGAGTGGAGACCCATCGAGCAGAAGCCCCGGGAGAGGCCCCAAGGGGGGGGCACCATGAAGCTGCCCCCCAGCAACCCCCCGCCCCGGCCGCCCCCCGACGCCCGCAGGAAGCAGCCGGAGGTGGGGGGGCAGGTGAACCCCATCCCTGTGGAGGTGGAATAATGGGGGATCCCCCTGCCCTGCCCTGCTCCTGCTCCTGCTCCCCAGCTGCTCCTGGACCCACTGCAGCCCATCCATTGGGCCCCTGGGGGTCCCCAAAACCCCGGCACTCTGAGCCCCTTGCTGGGGGTCCCCAGCCCCTGGTGATGCTCAGAGGCCCCCAGGGGGATCATCAGAGCCCCAGTGATGCTCTGGGGTCCCCAGCTCTCATGGGGGTTCCCAAATCCCCAGCAGTACTCAGCTCCTTGTAGGATCTCCATCCCCTGGGGATCCCCAAATCCCCTAAGATGCTCAGCTTGTAGGATCTCCATCTCCCTGTAGGATCATCTGCTGAGGATCCCCAAATCCCCAGCAATGCCCAGCTCCTTGTAGGATCTCCATCTCCCTGTAGGATCTCCTGGGGATCCCCAAATCCCCTAAGTTGCTCAGCTCCTTGTAGGATCTCCAGCTCCTGGGGATCCCCAAATCCCCAGCAATGCCCAGCTCCTTGTAGGATCTCCATCTCCCTGTAGGATCTCCATCCTCCGGGGATCCCCAAATCCTCTAAGATGCTCAGCTCCCAAATCCCCTAAGACATTCAGCTCCCAAATTCCCAGCAATGTGATGATCCCTGTGGGGTTCCCAGCCCTCGGTGGCTTCCCAGCTGCTGGAGATGCCCAAATCCCTGGGCCTGCTCAACTCCCTATGGGGTCTCCAGCTCCCAGGAACTCCCCAGCTCCTGGAGCTCCCCAAATCCCAAGAATGTTCAGCTTCCTGTGGGGTCTGCAGCCCCCGAGGTCTTCCCAGTTCCTAAGGATCCCCTAAATCCTTGGGCATTCTCAGCTCCCTGTGAGTCTCCTGCTTCCAGGGGCTCCTCAGCTCCTGGGAAACCCCAAATCCCTGGGCATGCTCAGCTCCCTGAGGGTCCCAGCTCTCCAAGCACCCCCCAGTTCCCTGGGGGATCCCCAAATCCCTGTGGAACTGCAGCTCTCAGGGAATTCCCAGTTCCCAGGGGGATCAGGCAGCTCTGCTCCTGCTCTCCCTGGTTTTTGTCATTTCTGCCGTTGCTGTTGCAATAAAAAGTGGGAAAGGCCCTGGCTGGCCCTGCCTCCTGCTCCAGGGGGAATCCCCCCAGCCCTGCCCTGCTCCTGGGGGGCTGGCACAGGACTGGGGAGGAGTTCTGGGGACAAACAGTGCAGTTATGGACAAATCCAGGATGCAGATATGCAGAGTATGGCCACAGTCCCCTCCCAAAATCCCTGTGGAGCCAGCAGTGGGGTGGGACTGGGAGGAACTGGGAGGGCCCCACCCTGGAGCTGCACAGGGGGTCCCAAAGGAGCCCCCAAAACCTGGGACACCCCCCAGCAGGGAATGTGGGGAGCATTTCCCTTCCCAGTGCCACTGGTGGCTGCTGCAAGTTCCCCGGTGTGATGTGGGTGCCAAATCCTTGATCCCACTGGGATCAGCAGCTGCTCCAGGCCCCCTCTGCCCCCTCCCCACACAGACCCTGCCCCCTTGGGGGCTGCAGTGGCCCAGGGTCCCCCCGGCTGCTGCCAGCACAGGTGGCAGGTGGCACCATGCCCGTGGGACGTGGTGCCCGGGGCAGAGCCATGGGAAAGGTGTGGGTGTCGGGGTGCCAGGGCTGGGTCCCCCCCGGGCTGGGGGTGTGGGGCACCCTGTGCCCTCCCTGTCACCTCCCAGTTCATCCTGCCCACCGTGCAGGGGCTGAGGGCTGTCCCACAGCTGGCACTGCCCACGATGTCCCTCTGTCCTTCTGTCCCTTTGCCCCAATTCCCCACATCCCAATGCCCTGGCTGGGAACAGAGCAAGGACCGTGCCAGGAGTTGTTGGCTTTTATTTGCAGCATTAAATAGCACTAGGAAGGAGACAATAAATACCTTTTTTGGGGGGAATAAATAACCAGTGAGTGCAGCACTCACAGGGTCTGGCCGTGGGGCGATGCTGGCCCTGGAGTCACAGCCGTGGCTGGGGTGGGGGGGTCAGCAATAAATAATAGAGGGTACAACCCCCCCCCGGCAGCAAGGCTTATAAATAACTGATAAATAACCAGGGAGGGGACACCCTGGCGGGGTCGGGTGCTCTAAAACAAGCACGGGCAGGGTGACACGGTCACCGGGGGTGGCGCGGTCACCGGGGTGGCGCGGTCACCGGGGTGGCACGGTCACCGGGGGTGGCGCGGTCACCGGGGTGGCGCGGTCACCGGGGCGGGCTCAGCGCGCCGTGCGGGGCAGGACGCAGGTGCAGCCCACGGGCACTCGGATGTAATCCACCTCCAGCGCCACCAGCCCCAGCCCCGCGGGCCGCGGGCACGGCTTGCGCCGCAGCACCAGCATGGTCTGCTGGATGGTCACCGAGTTGAGCGACGTGGTCTCCCGGCCGGTTTTCACGTCCACGCAGCCGCTGCACAGGCACTCGGCGAAGGCCAGCTTGCGCGGGTAGCGGTTCTCGTCCTCGTCGATGCTGCGGGGACACGGCGACACCTTCCCCTGTGCCACCAGCTCTGACCGGCTGGGGAGGGGATACGAGGGCTGTCGGGGGCCGGGGGCACTCACCGGTATCGCCACGGGGAGATGGAGCGCTCGTGGGGCTCGCTGCGGAGCCCGGCGCGCAGCGACAGCGCGGGGCAGGCGGGCGGGCGCTGCCGCCGCCGCCGCCGGGCCCCGGCCGCCTCCAGGCGCTCCAGCTGCGGCACCAACTGCACCGAGACGTGCCGGTCCCAGCGCAGGCTGCGGCCCAGCAGCTGAGCGGGAGCCTCGTCCTCCAGCTCGGCCCCGCTGAAGCAGCGCACGGCGGAGTGAGAGGAGCCGATCCCGGCGCGCCGCAGCCCCCGGCACTGCCCCAGCGCCGCCAGCACGGCCAGCACCGCCAGCCAGCCCTGCGGGGACAGCACAGCGTCAGGGACACCCAAAGGGACAGGGACACACGGCACAGTGACAGGGACACACACCCAAAGGGACAGGGACACACGGCCAGCACCGCCAGCCAGGCCTGCGGGGACAGCACAGCGTCAGGGACACCCAAAGGGACAGGGACACACGGCCAGCACAGCCAGCCAGCCCTGCGGGGACAGCACAGCGTCAGGGACACCCAAAGGGACAGGGACACACGGCACAGTGACAGGGACACCCCGGGGATGGGGACACACGGCGGAGTGACAGGGACACCCAAAGGGACAGGGACACACGGCACAGTGACAGTGACACCAAGGGGACAGCCACACACAGCAGAGCCCTCCCCAAAATGGGAGTGTGCAGCCCCACGGCCCCAGGGCTGGGCAGGTGTGTGCCTGTGTATCGATCTGTTATCTCTCCATTAGCTATCCTTTATCTGTTACCTATCCGTTATTAGATATTTATTTCCACACGTCTCTCTATCTGTATAATCCCCATATCTATAGATGTCTCTGTATGCCTATATAGTGTCTATACATTTTTATCTGTACGTAGATACATCTAGAGCTTCTCTGTATCTCTGTATCTCTGCGTGTCTCTAACTTGATATTTATATTTCTATATCTGTCTTTATCTGTACCTGTATCTCTGGCTATATCAGTATTTCTATAGCTGTATCTCTATATATTTATATCTAGCTATATATATCTATTTATATCTATATCTATATATAGATAGATATTGACATATTGACATATATATCAATATGTCAATATCTATCTATATATCAATATATCAATATAACTATCTATGTACATATTTATATCTATCTGTATCCATATCTATCTAAATCTATTTCTATCTATCTATCTATCTATCTATCTATCTTATTTCTATTTCTATTATTTCTATTTCTATTTCTATTTCTATATTTCTATTTCTATATTTCTATTTCTATTATTTCTATATCTATTTCCATATCTACATATATATCTATATATATATATCTACATATATATCTACATATATATAATCTATATCTATCTCTATATCTATCTATCTATCTTGTTTCTATTTCTATTTCTATTTCTATTTCTATTTCTATTTCTATTTCTATTTCTATTATTATTATTTCTATTTCTATTTCTATTTCTATTTCTCTTTCTATTTCTATTTCTATTTCTATTTCCATATCTATGTATCTACATGTATATAACCTATATCTATCTCTATATCTATCTGTCATTTCTATCTGTATCTATATATATATCTATTTGTATTTCTATATGTATCCCGTCCCTAAAAAATGAGCACGCCCACGTGCACACGTGCTTGGATACACTCAATATCCACACTCACACACTGCACACACACAGCAGCACCTGCAGCTATAAACACACACACACACACACACACACATACACACAAATATATAAATATACATTTTATATCTAAATATGGAAAAAGAAGTAGAAATAAAAATGTAAAAGTATAAATGCATACGCACAAAACGTATATAAATATATATAATACAAATATTTTATAAATATAATATATATTTTATACATATTATATATAAAGATATATATTTATATATATAAAATATATTTTATATATAAAGATATATAAAACTTTTAAATATTTCTAGAAAAAATAAATATATATTTTATGTAAATATATAAAAATAACCAAAACTAAAAATATACAACTATAAATACACACCCAAATATATATAAAAATATTATATATATTTATATAAAATATATTAAAGTAAATATTTTATTTATATAAAGATATATATCTTTATGTATATATATTTTATATCTATAAAGGTATATTTAAATTTTTATATATATATAAATTTTTATATATTTATAGAAAAGAAAATAAAGATATATTTTATATAAATATATAAAAATGAAAATAAGTAAAACCAAAAATCATAAATACACATACACATGTAAATTTTTATATATTTATATAAATATCTATAAATGTATTTTTATATATAGAAATATATATACAGATATATACAAAATTTCTATATATTTATAGAATTATATATTTCTATATATATACAATATGTAAATATATATTTTATTAAAATATCTTAAAATAAATATCATATACATCTCTTTATATATATAAAATATTATATATAGCGATATATATATAATTTTAAAATGTATTTATAGAAAAGGTATAAATATGTACTTTTATAGATATATAAAAAATAAATAAAAATATAGAACTATAAATACACACACGCATATATATAGCTAAAGAGAGAGAAAACCCACACATATGTATATATTTTTAATTTATATATTTTTATATGTACGTATAGCTCAGTATACATATAAATTCCCATTTTATATATTTATATATACGTTTATATATGGTTATATATAGTTTTATATTTATTTATATATTTTATATTTATGTAAAATTATATTAATATACATGTATATATGTTTTTATATAGGTTTATACTTATGTATATATTTTATTTATGTAAAAATATACGTCTATATTTATATACATGTATGTATGCTTATATATACTTTTATAGTTATTTATACATTTTATATTTGTGTAAAAATATATGTCTATATTTATATACAGATATCTAGCAGAGTCTGCACACCCTACCCCTACAGGAGTAGGAAATATCTGTGCACACACCTGCAGCTAATCCTGTGCACTCACACCCACACAGACACAGAAAACACCTCTCTGTGTGTGTGAATGAAATATTAAATCAAGGATAAACAACCCCTGGAACGAAAATAAATAATGGAAAAAAAGAAATAAATAATGGAAAGAAATAAAGAAAATATAAATAAATAAAAATAAAGATTGTTAAATATAATAAATAAAATAAATTAGAAATAAATATAAATAGGAATATATAAATTTATATACTTAAATATTTTTTAAATTTAAGTATATATAATGAACATAGCTATAAATAAGTAAATAGATATATAAGGAAATAGATAATATAAATAAAAGGATAAAGTAAAGAAATGGAGAGTATTTGTCCACATAGAAAATGGGAATAAAATAGAAAATTAAAACAACAAATAAAAATACCACAGGATGAAATATAGATAACATAAATTTGAATATAACTGCATATTAAATATTATCTCTGCAGTAATAAATAACAATTTGTGCGTGTTGGCATTGCACACACACACAGGGACAGGGACAGCCTCCAGCAGCCCCTGTGCTCAGGGCTGCCCAAAACACACCTGGGTCCCTCTGAGTGTGCACAGGAGCGTGGGCTGAGCTCCCACACTCAGCACAGACACGGATATAAATACAGACAAACACTTAGAAATATAGATATAAAAATATATATAAAGATAAAAGATATAAAAATTATTTAATATGTAAATATATAAATATATCATATCCAATAATATATATAAAATATAAAATATAGTAATATCTTATAATATACAATGTATAAAATTAATATATTTATATATTGATAATATTATGTTCATATATTTATATAATGTTAATACATTAATGTTAATATGTATTACATATTAAGGTACATTCTATGTAATATAATATAATTAATGTATATAAAATATAAAAATGCATATCTATTATATGTAAAATAGGAATATAAATATAAATATAAATATAAATATAAATATAAATATAAATATAAATATAAATATATGTATATGTATGTATACACACACAGAGCTGTGCACATGGTGTGTAACACACATAAAATGCACACAGGGTTTGTAATTCACTCATAAAATACACCCATGGTGTGCAATTCACACATAAAATACACAGAGCTCTGCACAGTGTGTATAACACCACATAAAATACACACGGGGTTTGTAATTCACACATAAAATACACCCATGGTGTGTAACACAGACATTAAACACACACACATATATAAAATAAATATAGAGAGCCCCACACACGCTGTGTCACTCACACACATGAAACTCACACACACAGAACCCTGCACATGGTGTGCAACACACACACACACACAGGTAATGAAAATACACACACAGAGCTGTGCACATGGTGTGCAACACACACACAGGTAATAAAAACACAGAGCTGTGCACATGACATGTAACACATATAATAAACACACTCAGAGCTGTGCACACAGTGTGTAACACACACATGAAACACTCAGAGAACCCCACACATGGCATCTAACACATGCAATGAACACACACACACATTAAACACACATAAAACCTCACACATGACATGTAACACATGTAATGAACTCACACACACATTAAACACACATAAAACCTCACACATGACATGTAGCACATATAATGAACTCACACACACTCAGAGCTGTGCCCAGGGTGTGTAAGACACACATTAAACCCCACACATGACATGTAGCACATATAATGAACACACACTCAACACTCAGAGCTGTGCACACAGTGTGTAACACAGAGAACCCCACACGTGACATGTAGCACATATAATGAACACACACACATCATGAACACTCACACAGAGCCCTGCACACGGTGTGTAACACACTCAGAGCTGTGCCCAGGGTGTGTAACACACACATGTAAAACCCTACACATGACATTTAACACACATGTAATGAACTCACACACCCTCAGAGCTGTGCACGCAGTGTGTAACACACACATAACATCCCACACATGACATATCACACATGTAATGGACTCACACACACCGAGCTGTGCCCAAGGCGTGTAACACACACATTAAACACACGTGAAACCCCACACACCACACGTAACATGCCCCACACACCCCACACTTTCTGCCCTCACCCCCCAACATCCCCCAGCGCCCCCAAACCCCACGTTACCATCAGCCGGGTGTCGAGGGACCACGCCAAAATTTGGGGGGCACGGGGGTGGGGGGAGCAGGGAACACGGCCGGATTTGGGGAAGGGAACACGGCAAGGTCCGGGGGACCCTTGGGAAGCGCAGCCCCAGGGATGAGGCGGCCGAGTGGCAGCGCCGCCGCCGCCGCCGCCTTTTTATAGGGCCGGGCAGGTGATGTGCACACACCTGGAAACTCCAGCTCCAGGTTCCTTCCTCCTCCCCGCACAGGGCCGGCACTTCCTTCTGCACTCCACGTGTGCCAGCCGGGAGCGCGGGCGCCTCCGAGCTCCAGAATTTGGGCAGGGAGGCGGGCAGGGGTGTCCCGGTGACACCGGGACGGGACGGGCATCCCCCAGGCCGTGCCCTGTTGCGTCACCGGCACCGTGAGATCACCATGGCATTCCCGGGCAGAAATCCCAAATTAAGCAACGCTGGGAAGGGCTCGAGGGCTGCCGTCGGCCCTCCAGGATGGCCCGATGGGCTGGCCTCCAGCAGCACCAGCGGGATGCTGGTTTCGTGCTGGGAGCAAGGAGCAGGGCTGGAGGATGGGAAATCCCAAGGGGATGGGAAATTCCAGGGGGTGGGAAATCCCAGGGACCCCAAAAATTGTTCTCTGAATGAGAGGGGTCTGGCAGAGGTACCCCAGATGATGCCCTCCATTAACACTTCACACCAGTAGGGTACTGGTTCCATACTGGGAACAAGGAGCCTGGGGAATCCTCAGGGCCCCCAAACACTGCTCCCTAAATTAGGGGGATTTATTAGAGACCCCCCCAGTGATGCCAGGCAGGGCAGAAGCTGCAGAATCCCCCAGTTACACACCAGTAATATACTGGCTTCACAGTGGGCATGAGACCATCTACTCCCCCAGGAAACAGAGCAGCTTTTCCAGCTCCATGGAGCTGCTCATGACCCAAAAAACCCCAAAATGAGGGGTACAGACGCCCCCCCCCCCACCAAGGTAAGGGAGAGGCAGAGAAAAGCAGGAAACGGTAAAATTGGTTATCAAAATATTTTATTTCAGGGAGATCCCGCCAAAAAAAAAAAAAAAAAAGAAAAAAAAAGAAAAAAAAGAAAAAAAAAAAAGAAAACAAAACAAAACAAAAAAAAAAAAAAAAAAGGAAAAACCAAAGGAAGAAGGACCCTCCTGGCAGACGGACACCCACAACACCTGCAGGGCTCCTGGGAAATCAACTGAACCGATCCCCTGCTCCAAAGAAACGACAGGGCTCTCCCGAGGGGCGGAGGCAGGAATAGATATATTTATATTTTTCCTGGGGGAGGAGGGGTGCTGCCAGCAGTTCACAGCAGTTTTCGGCTCTCTCGGCACACGGGACTAGAACTGCATTGCTGAAGACACTCAACACACAGCAGGGCTAACTAGGAGAATACAACTGGAGGCTAGCAAAGAGGAGAGGGGACACAGGAGAGCTGGGAGCACCCGCGGGGCTGGAGTCCTCTGTGCACAATTTACAGGGCCCCGGAGCCCTCCCGGAGCCGCTCGTCGGGCAAAAACTTCCTTAATTTCTTTGTTTTGTGTGTGTGTGTGTTGTATGTGTGTGTGGTGTGTGTGTGTGTGTGTGTGGGTTTTACGTTTGTTTTTTTGTTTTATTTTTTTAAAAAGAACCGCGCGGCCAAAACGAAGACGAGGAACTGCAAAATCCCAAAGCGGCCGCTTCTGCCTCTCTTTATAAAAACCTCAGCAGTCACTGGGGGCACAGCCCACTATACTTTGCCCGGGATCTTGGCCCGTTTGCGGGCGATGGCGTCCTCCACGGCCTTGAGCTGCTTCAGGAGCTCCTCCCTGCGGGACAGGGTGCTGGATTTGCTGCCCTTGGCAGCCCCAGGGCCCGGCTCCGAGCCCTTGCCCGGCACGCTGGTGACTTTGCTGGAGCTCTTGGACTGAGGGGACAGCTGGCGTTTCCTGCAGGGACAGAGGAGGGGCAGTGAGAGGAGCTGGGAATGTCCCAAAGGCTCAGAGGGAATCGTGCACTGAGCCCTGCTGGCCACACTAAAATCAGAGTTTTTAAGGTCCTTTCTCACATAAATTTCATCTCTTTCAGAGATGAAAAGTGCACTGAGCCCCACTGGTCCCATTGGTTTCTAAGGTCCTTACCCACATAAATTTAATCTCTTTCCATAGACAGGGACACCTTTCATTAGCTCAGGTGGCTCCAGCCTGGCCTTGGGCACTGCCAGGGATCCAGGGGCAGCCCCAGCTTCTCTGGGCATCCAGTGCCAGGGCTCCCCCACCTTCACAGGGAAGGATTTCTCCCTAGTTTCTGAGCTGAACTAAAATAGCAGGAAGAGCCACATCTAACACATGGCTCCAGGAGCAGGTGGGAGAAAAGAGGTTGGAGACAGGAGGAAACCTTGGGTTGAAAACTGGCCTAAACAGTAAAAAACCAGATTATTACATGGGGATTCCCAAATTCCCAGGATTAAACTCAGTGCCAGCTCGTGTCTCCCTGTGACACCCACAGGGGAGAGCAGCCCTGGAGCATCCCCTCAATCCCAAATCCTTCAGCCCTTTCCCTGTGATGTTGCCCCAGAGATCCTTGGAGAGGATCCCTGACCCTTGAGCCCCTTATCCAACACTGCACTGGGACATTCCCAGCACTGCAGCAGGCACAGCCTGCCAGGAATTTGGCAGAGCTGCATGGAAGGTGCAAAGCCAGGGCTGTCACTGCTCTGTCCCATGCAGGGGACACAGCCACAGCAGCAAGGGGGGCAGCTGAGGGTGTGCCAGGCCGGGAAAAGGGGAATGAGGCACCAGGTGCCAGGAGGAGCTGGCCAGGGGCAAGGGGTTGCACTCTGGTGCTCTTTTACACTGTTTTAATGAGCTGCAGAGGCACTGGCTGAGCTCACTCCTGACCCACTTGGCTCCTGGTGCTCCTGCTCTTCTCCCAGCCGGAATGGCCCAGCTGGAGGCTCTGCACAAGCCCTGGCACCCCTGGCAGCAGCCCAGGCAGCTCCGCGTCCTTCCTGGCACTGCACTCCATGGCAACTGCAGCTGCTGGCCTGGGACAGCCTGGGACAGCCTGGGACAGCCCTGCAGGAGCAGGGCTGCAGGCCCTGCAGGGCTGTGGGGCCCAGCAGAAGCAGCAGCACTCACCTGTCTGCCTGTGCAGGGGAAGGTTTTGGGTTCTGGCCCCGCTGCCGCTCCTGTTTGGGGGACGAGAGTCTCCCGGTCGCCTTCCTATCGCGAGAGCCTGGGGGAGAGCACAAGGACATTCCTTCATTTTCCTGCTTGGCACCAAGGCCAGGCCACCCCCTGCCTGCACTGACTGACCACATCGTGCCAAAACAGATGCCAAAACCAATGCCAAGTCCAGCAGCAGCTGGAAAAGCCTCACTGTGTGCCCCCTGCACCTCTGGCAGGGCTGTGCGCTGCAGTCACCTGTACACACCACCTTCCACCAGCCCTTCCTCACCCTCCAGCTGCTGGAGTGAGGCTCTTCCATGGCTTCTTGTGCCTGCAGAGCTGCTGGCTCTGCCCTGGCGGGTCACAGGGTGTAGTGGCTCCAGCAGTGACAGGTGAGGGCAGCTCTGCTGCTTTCGGAGCCAGCAGCACCCCCGTGTTTGTGCAGCACGGCTCAGCTGCCAGGCCCTGCCCCAACAGAGCTGCCCTGGGCACTCAGGGATGCTGGGGAGCAGCTGGGTTACCCCAGGAACAGAGAGGGAATTCCTCCTGCAAGGCAGCCTGTGGAGCTGCTGCCCTGCTCTGAGCTCAGGCAGCAAAGGTGCCCAGTCCCCCATGGCAGCAGCCCCTGTGTGTGCCAGGGCATCCCTCTGCTCCTGGGGATGGACACTGGGACAGCCTCAGGTCACAGAGCAGGTGACAGAGCAGGTGACACACTCAGCTACCAGCACTGAGCAGTCTGGTGCTGAGATGCCAAGGGCTCAGTCCCAACTCAGCCAAGGGCACCTTTGGGATTTGGGGCTCCGTGGCTGGGACTCCCCATCCCTGGAAGTGTCCAAGGCCAGGCTGGATGGGGCTCAGAGCAACCTGGGGTAGTGGAGGTGTCCCTGGTCTTTGGTCCCTTGCAGCCCAAATTAATCCGTGCTGCAGCTCAAAAATTGCTTTTTAACAAAAAGCAGAGGATGGCACCAGTGCCGCTCCAGAACACGTCCTGGCCTGGCCCTGTCACTCGTGTGTGAACCAGACCCCAGTGAACTTCAACCTGGGGCAGTCCCTTGCAGGCTGCCCTTGCAGGAGGTGAATGTTGCAGGTAATTACACAGACCTTGTGCTGGCTGGCACCCAGAGTCAACAAGATCCACCTACAGCTGAGCCACCAGGGAAAACAACATCACGTGGCAGCGCCGACGTCACCCGCAGCCACCTCTGGCTGCCAACTCCCCCCACCCCCTGTGCCTCTTGGCAGCCACAGCCAAGGCTGCAGGGTGGCACCGAGGGCCCTGTCTGTGCCTGCCAGCTCTCTTTCCCGAGCTGTTCCTGCTGCTGGGCAGGATTGAGGCCAAGGAGAACCCTTGGAAAGCCCAGGTCTTTCTAAACATCCAGGGCAGAGCGGGTTGTGTCACCCAGAGGTGGGGCAATCAGCTCCTGTCCCAGGCTGGCTGATGCAGGCAGGGATTGATTGCATCCCTCTCTCCCTCCCTCTCTCCAGCCCAGCCTTTCGAAGCACCAGCCTGGCTGGCAGGGACAGCTCCCCCTGGAAAACTCCGGGATGCACCAAAGGAAACTCCTGTGACTCACAGTCCTGGAGTGGCTGGGATTTGGAAGTGATTTTCAGGATAATCCAGCCCAACCTTCAGCCCAGCACCACCAAGGTCACCACTAACCCTGTCCCCAGTGCCACATCCACACATTTATGGAACACTTCCAGGGATGGGGACTTCCTCCTGACAGTCTGTTCCTTTCTGGGAAAAAAAAAATCTCCTAATTTCCAACCTAAACCTGATTTCCACAGCCACATCCAAGGCCAGCAAGAGTGAGCAGGAGGCCCTGGGGTGGATGTGGAGGTGAGAACTCAGAGTCTTCAAAGCCAAGGGGCTGTTTTTTGGTCAGGATTTACAGTGGAGTTAGTGTGGCCAGGCTGGCTCTGGCCTGCCCAGGGCCTCAGCTCTGCTGTGTTTTTGCAGCAGGATGGTCAATGCCCCCCTTTATCTGGTGGCAATCCCACTCTGAGGTTTTGGGATGACTGCAGTGGATCTTTCCAGCTGCTGGAGGATGCCTCACCTCTGTCAGGTGACAGGTTGGCCCGTTTGGCTGGAGGAGAGGTCGGCCTCTCTTTGTCTGCTGGCTCATATCTCTTCCTGCTTCCTTTGTCAGCTGCCTGCAATGGAATTAAAACAATGGAGCTGAGCAGCCACTTCCCTCTGCACAGGGAAACAGGCACAGCCATTCCCTGGCTCCTGCAAACACCTTTCCCAATAAACTCTGCACACACCAGTCCCAGCCATCCCTGAATCCACCTAATTCCCAACCACCAGGAGCCAACAGCAACACCCCCCTGCGCTGGGATTAAGGCTGTAATAATTTCAGAACAGGAACAGGAAAACAGCAGCTTTTTGGGATGGTTTTTTCCCCAGCAGCACCAAGGATAGCAGATGTGAGGGAGGCATGAGGAGCCGTGCCTTTTCCAGGCTGTCATGTGTCACTGCACACTCCTCCCTCCCTCTGGAGCAGCTTCCTGCCTGATAAAGCCTCCTCACGTCAGAGCACAGGGAAGTAGAGAAATCTGCAGCCTCAGACTGCGCCGGGGAATTTGGGCTGGCAGAGCAAAATATCAAAACCAGGAACCTGCCCACGTGATGGGGCCAACACCCTGCCCCAGCAGCAAACCCCACGAGGAACAACTCCCCCACACGGGCTGGGACCTGTGCCCAGGGCTCTGAGCAGGGCACTGGGATCAGAGGGGAGGGCAACAGACAGGGGGGCACCCAGGAGCTGGGCTGCACCTTCTCCCCCTGCACTCTGCTCCCAGCCTGCTCTGGGCTGGCACAGGAAGAGCTCCCAGAGCATCTCCCAGGGAAAAGGCCCCGGGACCTTCGAGCAAGCGGGGAAGAGCCTGGAAGCTGCAGCAGGAATGTGCCCCAGGGAAGCCGCCAACACAGCCCCAAAGTGAAGCCAGCACAGGGTGTGTGCTGCCAGACTGGTTCTGTGTGCTGCCCTCCAAGCCAGCCCCAGACCTTCCTGGCTGAGCTCATCCCAACAGTGCTGAGCCTGGAGCTGGGATCCATCCCCTTCCTCCCACTGGGATCCATCCCCTCCTGCAGGATCCATCCCCCTCCCTCTCACTGGGATCCATCCCCTCCCTCCTGCTGGGATCCATCCCCTCCCTCCTGCAGGATCCATCCCCTCTGGCCCCCAGGAAGTGGCACATCTAACACATGGCTCCAGGAGCAAGTGGAAGAAAAGAGGTTGGAGACAGGAGGAAGCCTTGGGTTGAAAACTGCCTTAAACAGTAAAAACCCAGCAGGGAATGCCAGCCCCCAGGGACTCATTCCCACCTTGTTCAGGAGCGTCAGTTTGATCTCCTTGTGCCCGCTGAAGCTGCCCTGCTGTGCCTGGGGGGCCGAGGGCTGCTGGCCCTGGGGCAGCTGCTGGGATTTGCTTCCCGGGGTGGGCTTGGCTGATTTCAGGAGCTGAGCGGGCACATCTCGTTTCCTCTTCTCCTCTTTAGCACTGTCTTCCTTTTTTGACTTTCCTGTTGAAAGCAGAGAGCACAGGTGGTGACTTGGGAATGATTGCTGTTGCCTGCCTCCCCTTTTGGACAAGAGGATGCTGCTCCAGGGATGGAAAAAGCCCACAGCAGTTATCTCAGCTCATGGACACGAGGTTGAGGGATTCAGGAAACCAGCATTTCCACAGAGAGCAACAGAAAAGACAAAGAACAAAAAGCTTTTGCCACAGACTCTGCCATGGTCTGGAAGGAGCAGAGGAAGAGCAAAGTGATACTGGAGCTGTCCAGATTTACATCACCTTCCAAGGGTGAAGGAGAGGCAGAACTGCCAGGCAGGAAAAGGGATGAGACAACCAGAGGCACAGGGATGGAAGGATGTGGATGCAAATTTGCTCCACAGGAGCCTCCCCTCTCCACAGGACCTCAGCTCAAGGATCTTCCCCGAGCCCACAACATTCCCAGGGAAGGATCCCTGCTCCTCCCTTCCTCTCCAAAGCCTCCCCAGAGGGATGCACCCCAGCAGAGCAGGAGCTGTACCTTTCTTCTGCTGGGCCGGGGTGGGGGAGCGGGAGCTGGCCGAGGACACGGGGCTGGCCAGGTCTGCGTACATGTCCTCGGAGTCGGCGCTGCGCACGGAGCTGCTGCTGGACGAGGCACTGGACACGGAGGAGACGCTGCTCACGCTCAGGGACCTGCCAAGAGCCACAGCTCAGCACACCCAGGAAGGCAACGAGGCCTTTCTGCATTTCCCTGGATGTTGGGAAGCTCGGCAGGGAATGATGCACAAAGGCCGTGTGTCCTGGGGCGCTGCTGGTATGAAAAATCTCAAAGCTGTGGGGTGCAGGCCTAGAAAGTAATGATTATTTATAGCCAGGATTAAGGCAATGAGTAAACAGGTCACTGTTTGCCCAGGAAAACAGGGAGTGAAAGCAGGGAGTGCACTGGCACATCCAGGTCAGTGTTACAGCTCAGGGCAAGGGTTCCCTGGCAGGGTTTCTGCTGCTGGCACACATCCACTGTCACGACTGATACCTCCAAGATGGAAATCTCCCAGCAGGGCCTATCCCAGGAAGTGTTTAAGCCAAGCTGGACAGGGTTGGAACAATATAGTCTAGTGGAAGGTGGCAGAGAGTTGGACTGGATGAGCTTTAAGCTCCTCTCCAAGCCAAACCATCCCACTCCATGAATATTCAGGCAGCCTCTCCAGCCTGTTCCACGGGCCACACCGCCCTGCTCTGCCAGCAAGGCCCAGGCTCCCTGCCTGGAAGCTGCATTGGGATGACTGAAGGGACTGTGGCAGCTCCAGCACAGACCAACCCTCTGCAGCCTCTACCCCCTGGCACCAGGAGCTGAGTTCTGAGAGGTCCCATGGGTTGTTCCAACGGTGCCAGGACGAGCCAGGAACTCCTCCAGGCTGGCCTGGTGTGGGCACACAGTGCATCTGCCATGGTTCCCCCTTCCCACAGGAGCAGCACAGGCAGCCCCAGTGTGCTCCCATTTCCCATCCATGCCCTGGTGCTCTCTGAAGCTCTTGCAACACCCCAGGCTGAGCTGATGAACGTGACAAGCGCGGAGTAAACAAGGCGGGATTTCTGTAAAATAACGCGGACGTTGAACCCCGGAGTTCCACAGAGTTCACTGATGGGAATTTGCAGTGCTCAGAGCCAAATCCTGCTCCAGCCACTGGTTTTACACCACAGGACTACTCTTACACCCGTGTGCCAGGGAAGTGTTGGGTTTCAAGGCTCTGCCTGTGAGGATTCAGGGAATCCTCTGTGTGAGGAGATGAAAAAACCCAAAGGAATGACTCGAGAGTGGTTTGTTTTTCCTTGCTGGAAGGAGTTTGTTGTTTACACATCCCACAGACCAAGAGACTTGGAACTGTTCACTTGGGGCTAAACACAAAAGGAACTGGACCTGCAACTTTGCCAGCAAAGGGAAAATATCATCAGCTGGGCCTTTTAGGGATTTTCTGACCTACCTCTCTTGACAGGCCAAGCATCTCCCCTAAGGACAGGAACCAGAGGTAGGAGAGGCTCAGGAGAGCCAAGCTCCATAGCCTGAAACTGTTCATTTGGAGTTTAATTAGGATGTGGGATCACCCTGGCCAGAAGGAGTTGTTCTGGTCACCATTTAGCTTAAATGGGTACTTGGACACACATGACAGGATTATTTCCTTGAATAAACCACAAGGGAAATATCAGAGAATCATGGAATGGTTTGTGCTGCAAGGGACCTTAAAGATCACCCAGCTCCAACCCCAACACCTCCCAAAAGAGCAGGTTGCTCCAAGTCCTGCCCAAATTGGCCTTGGACACTTGCAGGGATGGGGCAGCCACAGCTTCTCTGGGCACCCTGAGCCAATGCTTCCCCACCCTCACAGGGAAGCATTTTTCCCAAATATCCCACTGAAATATCCCTTCTATCAGTTTAAGGCCATTATATCTTGTTCTATCACTCCATGCCCTCTCCAACACTGTATTCCCACCACAATTCAGGACTTGGGATCTGTGACACAAACCCAACCTTGTCCCACCCCCCAGGCACCCGCAGCTGGTGCTGCTGGAGCTACAGAGAGCTTCCACTGCAAGAAACCAAACCTGTGACCAACAGCCACAGTCTCTGCTGTTAAATAAAGGTCACAAAGGCTCAGGGCTGTACCTGGATTTCCTTGAGCCAGAGGGAGAGTGGGAGACTGAGGCAGAGGATGATCTGGAATGAGATCTGGAGAGAGACCGGGACAAGGACCTCGATCGGGAGCTTGAGCCGCTGTAGCTGCTGGCACTGCCACTGATGCTGCCACTGATGGTCCTCCTGCAAGGCAGCAAAGCCCCCTCCCACCATGAGAATTGTAATGGCAAAGGCAGAGAGGGGAGGAAAACCCCAAGAGAAAAGCAGAGATTTTCTCAGCACCCTCTGACTGACACCCAGCCCTCCCTGAGGGGCCATCGGCCCCTTGCACCACTTCTCCCAGTCAGTGTGCTGGGAATGATGTTGTGTGGTGGGAATATCCCTGGGAATGATGTTCTGTGGTGGGGATAATCCTGGGAATGATGTTGTGTGGTGGGGAACAATCCTGGGAATGATGTTGTGTGGTGGGGATATCCCTGGGAATGATGTTCTGTGGTGGGGATATCCCTGGGAATGATGTTGTGTGGTGGGAATATCTCTGGGAATGATGTTGTGTGGTGGGGATAATCCTGGGAATGATGTTGTGTGGTGGGGAACAATCCTGGGAATGATGTTGTGTGGTGGGGATATCCCTGGGAATGATGTTGTGTGGTGGGAATATCCCTGGGAATGATGTTGTGTGGTGGGGATAATCCTGGGAATGATGTTGTGTGGTGGGGATATCCCTGGGAATGATGTTGTGTGGTGGGGAACAATCCTGGGAATGATGTTGTGTGGTGGGGATATCCCTGGGAATGATGTTGTGTGGTGGGGATATCCTTGTGGTCAGTGTGGGTCAGCTGCTGACCCTCCATCATGTCACATCTCTGTGACATCCCACATTCCTTTTTCCCCACTCTGCCACCTCCACAAACAGCAGCTCTCAAAAATGCCTTTTTCCCCACTCCCACCCTGATTTTGCCACATTTCCTGTATTCCACCCACTCCATCCTCCCCCCAGCCTCCACGGGCAGGAGCCACTCAAGGTAAATCAGGACCATCCCAGCCCAGCTCTCTTCCCCTTCTCCCCCTGCCCCAGAGATGGATTTCTCCCTGAGCAGTGGCACTCTGGGATTTGCTGGATCTCCCAGGAGACAGAAAGCTGGGATTTGCTGGATCTGCCATGAGATCAAGGCTCACTCCACCCCCTCTATCTCTCACCTCCTGGGTGGAGTCCTTGTCTGACGTTCCTTCCTCCTGGCTTCCCGATTATCCCCTGCCTTGGCTGCCTCTGGGGCTGCTGCTGTAATTTTTGTGAGTGGCTGAGGGACTGGGAGGGCAGTGAGTTTCTTCACAGATTTCTCCCTGGAAAAATGACAATTTTCACGTGTGTGATCCCAGGGGGTGGGCACAGAGCACTGATGTCCTCAGAAATTATGTGCTCTGGTTTGTTGTTGTTTAATATTTTAGAGATTACAGAATCCTGGAATGGTTTGGGCTGGAAGGGACCTTAAAAATCATCCCACTCCACTCTATTTCATGGGACACCTTCCACTGTCCCAGTTTACTCCAAACCCCATCCAACCTGGCCCTGATGTGATTCCTAAAGCTACAAACACTTGGCTGCTTCACCAAAACACAAACACCATGGATTTCCCTAAAGGGATTTGTTCCCCATATGCTCAATCAATTCATCTTTTCAGAGACAAATTACTGTACAACAGCCAATTCTGGAGATATTTGACTTGTAAATTAACTCCTGAAGCAGACTGGGTGGAAATGTTGTTTCTCATCCATTTAATTCCATCATTTTTATCCCAGACACTTACACCTGCTAAAAATCTGCCAGTCAGGCTTCGGAATGAAATGTGCACAGTTAACGCAAAAATTCTCTTTTTAACTCCAGCACACAGATCAGGAGGGTGCAAAACAGCCTGTGTGTGCCTGGATCTGTCCCTTGGCTTCTGTTCCCTGGGGAAAACTGATGGGAGCACCACCAAAGTGTTACCCACCACCGAGTGCAGGAGATGGGAATGGCTCTGGCTCCTCAGGGCTCAGAGCACTCCAACCTCTGCTCTGGCAGCTGGACACTGCTCCAAGTATGATCCTGGAATGCTCTGGGCTGGAAACACCTTGAAGATCATATTCCACCCCCTGCCATGGGTAGGACACCTTCCACTGTCCCAGGCTGCTCCAAACCCCAGTGTCCAGCCTGGCCTTGGCCACTGCCAGGGATCCAGGGGCAGCCCCAGCTGCTCTGGGCACCCGTGCCAGGGCCTGCCCACCCTGCCAGGGAAGGATTTCTCCCTGATATCCCATCCAGCCCTGCCCTCTGGCAGTGGGAAGCCATTCCCTGTGTCCTGTCCCTCCATCCCTTGCCCACAGCCCCCTCAGGCCCTGGAGCATCCCAGCACTGATTCCACATCCATTAACTGGGGAGGAGGTGCTGCCTGCACTCACACACTGGCAATTCCTCCTCCTGCTGTGCTCAATATCTGCATTTATCCCCTCAGAACACAGGACTAAGCCCATGGCACTTGGTGAGCCAGTGACAATAATCCCTGTGCTGGGACAGGCTGCCCTGGTGTCACCAAACCAGCACTGCCAGGAGCACTGGGAGGGAGCAGAGGGCCAGGGAGGGCTGAGCCCCAAGTGGAGGGGGAAAAACCCCAAAAGGCAGGATAACAAGGGACAAGAATTGTGGCAAAGGGGATTGTCCTAAATTCCGGAGAATTCAGGGGGATTCCCATGGTGTCATTTATTTGCAGGTCAGCTGGGAAGAGGTGACATCACTACGGTGTTGTGTCACCCTCCAACGTCCCCGTAATTTGCCACTGCAGCGTTTGTGAAATAGCAATTTCAGGAATTTAAAAGAGCAGCAGGGCTGCCAGAAGGTGCCAAACCCAGCTGCAGAGAGCTCCAGCCCTGTTTTCATCTGTCTCCTGTGTGAAAAGTTGATGAGGTTGAACCATTTCTTTATTCTGAGGCTGTGGATTAACCAAAGCCACAGAAGAGGAAGGAATTTAAACTTTTTTATAGCTCCTATTATGTACATTTAGATTATACAAATATATCTGCACACAGAGAATGTTCCAGCAGTAAAGCAAGTGTTTAAACACTTCTACATAGGTAAGGATATTTAAAGATACTTGTACAGTTTAACTTGGATTTAATAAGTATAAGTGTTATTATTTTATTAAATTTGCCAAGCTAAAAACTCTTCAATAAAGGCTGTATTTGACATCTTTTATTTCTCTTTTAAACTCAATGAGTTTTAAGATCTGGTTTGGATGGGAAGGGATCTCAAAGATCCTGTTCCACTCCCTGCCATGGGACACCTTCCACTAGCCCAGGTTGCTCCAAGTCCCATCCAGCCTTGGACTTCCAGGGATCCAGGGCCTCCCCACTCTGACAGCAACAATTCCTCCCCAATATTCCATCTAATCCTGCATTCCTTCCTTAAGGCCCCTCAAGAGCAGAGGGGCTTGTCTGGACTCTCACCCAGAGGAATTTGGGTGCTTACCCTTTCCCAGGAGGTGGCAATAATTCCCCTTTAGCCTTGGCCAGTGGCTTGTGAGGAGATGGTGTTGGAGAAGGAGAGGGAGAAGATGAGAAGGACCTTGACCTGGAAAGGAAGGAGACATCACTCAGCTCAGGCTCTGGGACTGCAGGAGCTGTTCCTGGCTCTCAGGGCATTCAGCCACCACTGCTCCCTCCCCAGGAACCTTCCTGAGCTTCTCCTGGCTTTATATTTGGACTCTGTGCATCAAAACTTAACTTCTGTCACCAGACAGTGGGAAAGTAGGAAACAGAAGGAAAAATAAGATCAGCTAGAAGAGAGGCAGTGCAGGTATTCCACAGCAATACCTGAGCCTGTCTCCATCCTCTTTATTCTCTCCTCAGGGAGATTACATAAGAAAATAACCAGGATTTTCAGTTGTATGTTCATCACTTTTTGTCCTGTAATTCCTAGAGCAGTTCATCCTTTAAAAGCAAAAAAACCAAAAGAAACTTGGGAGAAAGACAAAAAATTCCCCTAAACCTGATCTGTAATTTCTGGAACCCAAGAAAAAGCATTAAGTGGAGCATCCCAAAGGTGACAATCAAGGGCAGGAGCTGTTTCCTGAGCCCCTGAGCACACACCACGTGCTGCTCTTGGGGTGATTCACCCCAGTGCCAAGACTGGAAGTGCCTTGGTTGCACCCCAGTGCCTCAGCAGCCTGAGTCCTGTGTGACAGCTCCTCTGGGGACAGCTGGGCACAGGGTGTTGCTCACTCTGTCACTGCAGGGAGAGGCAGCCAAGGGTGTCACCCACACTGGCACTGTCCTGCCTGGAGCATGGATGGATGGGGAAGCTCATTCTGCTTCCCAGGTGGAATCAGCTCCCAGCTGAGCTTTTCCTAGGAGAAAGCAGTCCCAGAAGTGACAGAGTGTGTTGTGCCATCACCTGTGGGACCTGCTCTGGGCACCTGTGTGGCTTCAGCTCCTATCTGAGGAGCCAGTTCTCCTACTATGGATATTCCAGACTTGGGAAACTGTCTGCAGGGGCAAGGAAGTAGCAGAGGAATAAATCTTAATCAGCATGGGACACTGGATTGCTACTTTGAAGTGTCAGGACTATCACAAGACACAACTGCTTTAATAAAGAAACGGGATTTGCCTCTTGAAATAGAAATCCCAGCTCCACAGAACAGAGATGCTGCTGAACTTCTTCCAATCAGAAAATGCAAATGATGGGAATGTTGATCCACCACAGGCATGGGAAAGAGCCCAGCACAACAGCACTGCACCTGTGGGTGGGAGCACTGGGGAGAGGAGGGGGTGGCTGACAGATCTCCCTCAGCCAACAACCACAGCCGCCCTCGCTCAGCCAAGGCCTTGGAGTGGCTCATCTTAACAGAGCAAAAAGGAACTGTCAGGAAGCATCTGGAAACCATCCCACCACTGGTTCCCAGTCCCAGGAGCACTACCTGGACCTGCTGCCTGAGAAAGAGCTGTGCCTGGAGGAGCGACTGGAGTAGGAGCTGTAGGAGGAGGACCTGGAGCGCGAGCGGGAGGAGCCGGACCCCGAGTAGGTGGATGAGCGAGAAGAGGACCTGCAAGAGAAATATTACAATTCAGAGCTTCCTGCAAGAGAAATATTACAATTCAGAGCTTCCTGAGAAGAAATATTACAATTCAGAGCTTCCTGAAAAGAAATATTACAATTCAGAGCTTCCTGAGAAGCCCCCAAGGTTTTGTTTCCAAAGATGTTCTGCTCCAAATCCCACCAGCCTTCTCCTTGGGGAACTGTCAGTGCTCAGTGCAGAGAGCTCAGCACCCATAGCACACAGCCCAGAGCAGAGAGCTCAGCACCCACAGCACACAGGCCAGAGCTCAGCACCCATAGCACACTGCCCAGAGCTCAGCACCCACAGCACACAGGCCAGAGCTCAGCACCCATAGCACACTGCCCAGAGCTCAGCACCCTGTACGACACAGCCCAGAGCCGAGAGCTCAGCACCCATAGCACACAGGCCAGAGCTCAGCACCCATAGCACACAGCCCAGAGCTCAGCACCCACAGCACACAGGCCAGAGCTCAGCACCCATAGCACACAGCCCAGAGCTCAGCACCCACAGCACACAGCCCAGAGCTCAGCACCCTGTACGACACAGCCCAGAGCCCAGAGCAGAGAGCTCAGCACCTGTAGCACACTGCCCAGAGCCCAGCACCCATAGCACACTGCCCAGAGCCCAGCACCCACAGCACACAGCCCAGCACCCATAGCACACAGGCCAGAGCCCAGCACCCACAGCACACAGGCCAGAGCCCAGCACCCACAGCACACAGCCCAGAGCCCAGCACCCACAGCACACAGCCCAGAGCTCAGCACCCATAGCACACAGCCCAGAGCTCAGCACACAGCCCAGAGCAGAGAGCTCAGCACCCACAGCACACAGGCCAGAGCTCAGCATCCATAGCACACAGGCCAGAGCCCAAAGCAGAGAGCTCAGCACCCATAGCACACAGCCCAGAGCCCAGCACCTACAGCACACAGCCCAGAGCTCAGCACCCATAGCACACAGCCCAGAGCCCAGCACCCACAGCACACAGCCCAGCACCCATAGCACACAGCCCAGAGCTCAGCACCCATAGCACACTGCCCAGAGCCCAGCACCCACAGCACACAGCCCAGGGCAGCCCAGCAGGTGCCCAGCACGCAGTCCCAGCCCCGGCTCACCTGGAGGAGCCCGAGGCAGAGGCAGAGGAGGCCGAGGCGCGGCGGCGCCGGCGGGCGCGGCTGGGGGACACGGACACTCCCAGCTTCTTCTTGGGGGACTTGGACCGGCGCCACGGGTCCTTCCACTCGTCTGCACGCTTGGACGGGGCAGTGCCCAGCGCCAGGGACTCCTTGTCCTTCTTGGGGACCTCGGGCTGCCGGCTGCGGAACAGGGACACGTCAGCAGCTGGGCTGGGGGTTAGAAAGGGAGGGGAACAGGGACAGGGGACAATAGGCAGACATGGTATTGTGTAATAGTAGAATAATGATTATAAATAATATAATGTAACATATAACATAACATAATACAATACAATATGTAATATAATAACATACTATACTATGACACCCTATAATACACTATACTATAACTGTATAATAATTAAAATTAATAAAATATACTATAATGTACTATTATACTATAGTATAACAATATAACACAACATAATATAATAATATAACATAACTTAATAACATACTATACTGTAACATACTATAACATACTATAATATACTATACTATAACTGTACAATAATTATAGTATATAATTATATACTATATATAAGTATAATATATATAGTATATATAAGTATATAATATCTATAATTATATAGTAAGTATATAATATAAATATATACGTTTTATTATATACTTTTATATACTTTTATTATATACTTTTAATATATACTTTTATTATAGTATGTTATAATTAATATAACATACTATAATAAAATATACCACAATATACTATCATATACTAGACTATAATATAATAGTAATAACATATTAATATATTATATAATAATATTACGATACCATATTAATATATTATCAATGTATCTATCGGCACTATTATAATATAATAATAAATGATATATTAATTATTAATTAATATTCATATATTATAATAAAATGTATAAATAAACCTAAGTGGCCATGGAAAAATCCCCAAATTCATGCCTTAGACTGACTGCTTACAGCTCCTGATCTCCCCTGTGGGATTCCAGCAGCATTTTGGGGTGGTAAAGGGGTGGAAGAGCTCTCAGTTTGTGAACCACTGACAAAGGTGCTCTGTAAAGCCCTTCTGGGAACTCCTGTGTCCCACTGAGCACTCTGTGACCTCCTGGCTGACTCCAGGCCCAGCTCTTGGCCTCCAAGGGCTGGACACGAGCAAGAGGGAAGGCAATGGGGAACCTGGACCTGCCTGGAGCAGCCCAGAGCTGGAGCAAGGCCAGCCTGGTGCAGGGGAGAGCAGCCAGCACCAAGCCTGGATCCCTCTGATGTTCCCATCCCCTGGACACCCCTGGGCCTGTCACAACAAGAGCCAGTGACCTCCTTTCCCCCTTCCAAAGGGAACAGTTCCCTCACCCTGGCCATAAACCAGGCTGGTTTATCCCTGGATTATTCAAACACCACCAAATGAGGTGCCCAGCCAGGCCTCACTCTCCACCTCCTCCCTTCCCTTTTTAGGGCTCTACTTTCATTTCTCCTTTTTTGGTTCTCCAGGTTTCCTTTCTCCTCTCCAACCCTCTGATAATAATTCAGGGCCAACTTTTCAGCACCTGCACCAGACACTTCCTTAAGTACTCCAGGATGAGTTTCTTGAGGCTGAGACTTTATTACCTCTCTTATCTCTGGGTGATTTAACCTGGAATTTTTCCTTGCCCTCTCTCTAACCTGCACTCAACTCCTCAATTACCTGCTTCTACCCTTCTCCCTGGGGTTTCAGGCAGAGTTTGTGAGGGATTAAAGCTTCTGAAGCCTCTTGCACTCACCAAATTAGCAGGACAATGATGCATTTATTCCTTTCCTCAAAGCTGTGAGTTCCCAGGGAATTTGGGGGAGGAAAGGCCCCTTCCCTGCTGGGTTCAGCCAGTACCACCCCATTACTCACACCACTGAAGCAACCACTCCCCACACAGCTTCCTCGACCTTTTTGAGATAAAAAAGCCACCTCCAGGTTTTCTAATAATTCCAGGCACACTTCAACAAACGCCAGGATAATGAAAGCTCTTGGTCAGGAGCCTGTCCTTTGAAGACTTCACACCTCACAGAAGTTTCATCTCCTCCTTTCTGGCAGAGTTTCCTCATCCCCAGCCCAGGACTGGGATGTGCTGACCTAAAAATCCAACATCTGACTCTTTCCTTATCTCTGCTGATGTAAAAGCAATTTTACTCTTTGTCCCACAACTCCCTTGGAGTATTCAGAGGAAAACCCCTCCTTTCATGTTCATCCCTCCCAGCAATCTCACTCCAACTCCAGGAGAAGAGAATTGGATCCTCCATCCCGCACAGAGTGCCCAGGGAGGGAGTCCCAGGCAGGGCCATGGCTCAGCTTTACTCCCCAGCAGCCCCATTCCATCCTTCCCCTCTCCCAGCACTGCTCCAACACACCCTGTTGAACTCAGCACAGGGGACCTGCAGTGCTCTGGTCAGGTTTTCCCAGTTACAGTTACAATTCCCTGAGTATTTCACCTTGGAGGAGCACCAGCCCTTGGAATATGTTATAACCTGCTAACATCCAATAGTCCAAGCTGGGCTCCAGGGCTCCTTCCAGCAGATGTTTACAAACCCATTTGGAATTGCCAATTTCACCTCTGGAATATCCTCAAATCAACCAAGTGCAGAGAAAGAAGGAAAGGAAGAGTGGGAAAAGCCTCCACACCTTGCAGGATAAAGAGCAAGGAAAGGAGGAGAGAAAACCATGTGAGGGTGGCTCATGGAAAATGCCCAACATCCTGATCCAGTGTCCCTTCCCAGGGGATTGCAGTCTGTGAGCTCTGGGAGATGTAGGGGACACATTCTGCTTTATCCAGGACAAAAACTCCGGAGAAGTTTCTCCAGAATGACAAATCTGGAAAGCAACAGCTCTGTCAGGGAAGTTTAGGTTGGATATTAGGAAAGGTGCTTCCCCCAGAGGGTGCTGGGCACTGCCCTGAGGCTGCCAGAGCTCCAGGACAATGCTCAGGATTGGGTTTTGGGATGTCCTGGGCAGGGCCAGGCACTGGCTGAAGATCCCTGTGTGTCCCTTCCATCGCAGGGTATTCCATGAGTCCATGAACTAACAAATGCTCTCACCTCTCCAGGCTCAACTCCCTCCTGAACCAGTTCTCAGAAAGAAAAGCATCCTCTAGGATTTATTGTCCCTTAAAACCACCTCAAACTCACATCCAACAGCCCATCCTGGGAGCTGGAACAGCTCCAGAGCTTGGGTGCCAGCTGGGAGCAGGGATGACTCTGAAAGCAAATCTCATTTACCTGCACCTATTACCTGGTTTGATGCAATTCCCTCTGGATGAAGTCACTTTCTGGAGGAAAGGTTTTTCCCCAGGAAAACCACAACAGAAAGTCTCCTTTTTGGGGTGTGCTTGGCTTTTTGACTCAGCACTAAATGCTACAGATGAGGAAGGTGCTGCTCCTGTCAGGACAATTTCAAAGCCTTTCCTCAGAGCTTCCAAATGGTGGCATCACCAAAGAAACTCGTTCAACCTAAAGCTGGGAGCTGGTGCTGCTGGATTCATCTCCTCCAGTGGAATTCAGGAGGCAGAATGGAAAGTGAGCAGGAGAAGGTCCCTAGAGAACACCCCAGTGGCAGCCTGGCCAGGTGCCATGGCTGGGAGGTGAGGAAGGGAGGATTTCTCCTCACTTTCACTCCCACAGCCAGGTGATGTTGTGCTGGATCCCGTGCTTGGTGGAGCTCCCAGCTTCTGAATTCAAGAAATTAAAAAATAAGAGTGGTTTGCTGCTGGCTCAGTGAGATCAAGCTGCCATGGTGAAAGGGAGGGAAGGAGGGAATAATTCCAGGGCTGGTGAGCCTGGGATCGGCTCAGGAGCTCATCCTCACCCTCACACAGCTCCCCAGGCTGCTGGCAAACCTCACCCACTTCAGCAGAGAGTGGCAAAGAACTCTCCTGCTCATCCCAATCTTTTTCACCAAATTCCGATTTTTAGGAGACAACTGAAATATTTCAGAATTAACTCCTAAGTCTCTTCCACAAGGTTTTAAAAAAATTAATTAGGGGGAGGAAAAGACAAGACAAGAATGACCAAAAGCACCTGAATTTCCACCCCGATCCTCAAGAATCACTCGGGCAGCAGCTTCCAAAGGCAATTTTACCCTTAAAACAACTAAAAGTTTTCTTTTCCAGAAGGAACACGCTGATGCCCATTTGGCTGGAATGTAATGACAGCAATCAGGAGGAGAAGTGAAGCTGAGCGTGGCTTTGGCAGGGAGAGAGAGGAGGAGCAGAGGCAGCTCCAGCTGGCAGCACCCCAGCATGGCTCAGCCAGCTCCCAAATAAACCTGCCTCCCAAAAAAACCCAGCTGAACGTCACTGAGCCCAACAAAACTTTGGAGAGGGGGGAAAAAATGAGCTGCCCAGCTGAAGTTGTGCTCATGCATTATGCAAATGCTGCCGAAGCATTTCTAATCTTGGAGGGAAAAATGAGCGTGCAGGGGAAAGGCTTCCTGTCCTTCCCCATCCTGGCCCAGGGAACCAAAACCTCATCACCCCTGGGCAGCAGTGACGTCAGCCTGGCTTGGGGCTGCTCTTCCAGCTCCCTTTTCTCCAGAGGAGGAAAGTGCAGGGATGATTTCCCAGCCCCTGTGCTCCTGCAGGAAAGCCGCGATTGCGTCAGCAGCGCCGGCGCCGCTTTTCCTGCAGTGGAATTTTCCAGAGGAAGTGGACTCGAGGAATGACTGGAGCCATGTGCCAAGGCAGCTGTGGAGGGACCTGTAAGTGCTGCAAAATAAATTCCAGCAGAGTGCAAGCACGCAGGAACTCTTCCTGTCTTGGAGTAATGGAGAGGGACAACAGCTCTGGGAAGCCACCTCTGTGTGTCCAGGACAGGGAATGCTGGGCCTTGGAGCTGCTGCCCATTGGTCTTGGTGGAATATTAGCAGGGAAAATGCTTTTCTCAAGCTGTTTTCATCTGAGGCTGAGTTATCAGTCAAAAAAAAAAAAAAAAAAAAAAAAAGGAAAAAAAAAAAAGGAAAAAAAAAAAAAAAGGAAGGATTTCTTCAAAGCCTGATAGGGAGAGGCTTGGAAATTAAAGAGTAGAGATACAATCTGAACCTCAGGATGAAATCATCCCAGCAGGGAGATAAAGCTATCTGAGATGGCATCTCCCCTGAGGGCTGAGCATTTGACCTGGAGAGCCTCCTCTCCATGAGCAGGAGGCAGGATCCTGCC